CAAAGAAAAGAAAGAAAAGGCATCCAGATTGGAAAGGAAGAAGTTAAACTATCTCTATTTGAAATGACATGATCTTACATATAGAAATCCCTAAAGTACACACACACACACCACACACCATTAGAGCTAATAAATGAATATAGCAAAGTTGCAGGATACAAGATACAAAAATCAACTGTATTTCTGTACGCTAGCAATGAACAATCCAAAAATGAAATTAATAAAACAATTCCATTTACAATAGCATCAAAAAGAATACAATACTTAGGAATAAATTAAACCAAAAGAAGTGCAAGACTTGTACATTGAAAACTACCAAACATTGTTGAAAGAAATTTAAAAAGACCTCAATAAATGAAAAGACACCCTGTGTTCAGTCATTGGAAGACTTAATACTGTTAAGATAGCAATGCTCCCCAAATTGATCAGTGCAATCCCTCTCAAAATTCCAACTCCTTTTTTTTGCAGAAATGGACAAGCTGGTCCTAAAGTTCATATGGAATTGCAAGGGACCCCAAATAGCCATATACAAAAATCAACTCAAAATGGGTCAAAGATCTAAATGCAAGAGCTGAAACCTCATAGAAGGAAACAAAGGAGGAAATCTTCATGACCTTGGATTAGACAATGGTTTCCTAAATATGACACCGAAAGCACAGCAACAAATGAAAAATTGTTATATTGGACTTCACCAAATTTACAAACTTTTCCTGCATCAAAGGACACTAAGAAGAAAATGAAAAGACAACCCACAGTGTGGGAGAACATATTTGAAAATTATATCACTGAAAAGGGTCTGGTTTCCAGAACACAGAACTCTTAAAACTCAACAACAAAAAGACAACCCAATTTAAAAAAAGGGCAAAAGATGTGAGTAGACATTTCTCCCGAGAAGATGTACAAATGGCCAATAAGTACATGAAACGGTGCTTAGCATCATTAGTTAGTAGGGAAACGCAAATCAAAACCACAATGAGATACCACTTCACATCCACTAGGACAGCCAGAATCAAAAAAGACAGACAATTACAAGTGTGGGTGAGGATATGGAGAAATTAGAACCCTGTGCGCTGCTGGTGGGGTTCTGTAAAAAAAGTACAGCCACTGTGGAAAACAGTATAGCTATTCCTCAAAAAGTTAAGCAGAGTTACCATATGAGCCAGCAATTCCACTCCTAGGTACAGACCCAAGAAAACCGGAAACATAAGTTCATACAAAAACTTGCACATCCAAGTTCATAGCAGCACTATTCATAGTAGCCCCAAACAGAAACAACCCAAATGTCCATCAACGGATGATGGATAAACAAAATGTGGTCTCTCCACACAATGGAATTTTATTTGGCCTTAAAAAGAAGTGAAGTACTGACACACGCTACAACATGGCTGAACCTTGAAAACACTGTGCTAAGGAGAGAAGCCAACACCGTCGCACACTGTGTGACTCTGTCCATATGAGGTCCCCAGAATCGTTAAGTCCACAGAGACAGAAAGCCAATTAGCAATTTCGAGGAGCTGGTGGGGGTAGGGGGAGAAGAGTGACTACTAATGGGGACAGGGTTTCCCTTCGGGGTGATGAAAAAGTTCTGGAACTAGATAGTAGTGATGATTGCACAAGATTCTGAATACACTAAAAAGCACTTAATTGTACACTTAAAAATGTTTAAAGTAGTGACTTTTGTTATGTGACTTTAATCTCAAAACAAACAAAAACTACTCAGTTGTCCACAAACTTATCTCCAGGCTCTGGCCTGCTCCTCACTGAGGGGGAGGGGACAAAAGGGATAGGGCCCCCCCCCCCCTGCAGCAGGTCATAACCTCAGTCTGGAAGCCCCACCCACCTCTCTGCCATTGGGGAACCGGCATCTCTAAGCAGAGCCCCACGCCCACCCCAGTAGGAGGCTATGGCCATTTCTGCACAACCCTTAGAAAGAGGTGGGTCCCCAGGGGACACTGCTGCGGACATTACCCCAAGCCCCCCAGCACCCATGGGCAGCAATCCTGTCGCCTGGGCGTGCGGTGGGCGGGAGGCAGGGTTCTGTCTGTGCAGCCCTTGCAGGCCTGTGTTCTGGGGCTCAAGGTGGCGTGAGGAGCCTGGTGGGAGACAAGGACTCCTTTACCTTCCTCTTTCTTCTTGTCACCAGAGTTAGCATGGCCTTGCAGACTGATGGCCATGAATCCTGGCCTCCGTGGCCCGACTTCTCGAAACATGTCACTTCCTTTGTCAAGGACTTACTGTGCCAGGCTCTGGGCCACGCCCATTCCACACAGGGCACAGCTGTCTGGCGAGGCAGGACAGGCATTATCCCCACCAGAGGCTCCCAGCTTTGCCCAAAGCCAGTCAGTACAAGGCAGTCAGGCCCAGCCAGCTCTGTCTGGCTTCCATCCTGTGCTCTGAATTCCCCTCCACCCCCTGGTCCTGATGAGCTCTGAGCAGGGAAAGACCTGGAAGAAGTTAGGAGGGCAGTGGCCATGGAGCACCAGGCAGGGAGGGCCAAGAACTTTGTTGGGGAGGCCACAGGACCTACACGGGCAGCAGGCTGGGGCTGAGTCTCCTGAGGGCGCTGTGGCCTGGCCACCCTGGAACAGCATCCTGGGCACCAGGCTTGGGCACGTCTGGGGTGGCTCGGCACCCTTGGACTCAGCAGGTGGGTGGGATGAGGCAGCTGCTGCCTGGAGCCCCAGCCAAGTGCCACTGCTTCCCTTGTCCACGGGTGCCCTGGGGGCGGGCAGAAATCTGGGTACTGTGGGAGCCATGTGGAGCCAGCACCTCCCCTGCTCAGACCCCCACGCTCTGCTCCAGGCAAGGCCACCCCATCACCAGTCCTCCCTGTCCTGCCTCGGCCTCTTTCTCCCAGGGCCACGCACACACCTGCCTTGCCCGTGCCTCACTGGGTCTGGGGACACGTATGGGGGGTGCCTAAGCCCCCAGCTCAAGGGTGAGAATGGTGCAGCACTATTGGTTCTTGCCCCCCCACTTGTGGCCCCCAGGCCCATGGCTGTGCTTAGTCAAGGTGTGAGCCCCCTGGAGGAGCCCTGCCCAGGCCTGTCTGTGCCCAGTGACCATGCTCCCTCTCACCTCAGAAAGGACCCCATGGGACAGATGCTAGGTGGACAGGCTGTCCCTCCCCCTGACCACTAACATCTCATTCGGGAGCCCTCTTGGTGCTGGACTCCCACCCCTCCTTCATTTACCGGAAACAGTGTGTCCACCGCCGGGCAAGACACTTGACACATATCCTCACACTCCTGCCCAAACCTGACGAAGCCGGTGTTTATATCCCCGGTGAGAAGACAGGCTCCGATCAGGGGACCCGCCCTCAGAGCTCCACGGGATGCTGCCTTCCACTGTCTTCCCCAAGACACAGGCTGTGTGCGTCTCACTCGGCCCTGAGGGGAGGCTGGGGCACCACGTGCGTGTGGGCACAGGTGAGCCAAAAGAAACGGGGACTGCGGTGCGGGGTCTGAAGTAACGGGCACAGCATCCGGCACCTGGGGCGGGTCTGCAGACGGCCCGGGGCCTGCTGGGGAGGCAGAGAGGGACTGAGGGACCCTGGCGCACCCCTGGCTGTGAGGAGCAGGGGTTTTCTCAGTCCCAGGACGGGGCAGAGAGTGGAAGCTGAGGTGAGAGAGGAGGTGCCAGGGCAGACACCTGGGGAGGCAGCTTGAGCAGGACTGGAGATCAGAACCTGGGTCGGTCCTTCCCACCTACAGGAGTCCCCTCAAAGGCACCTGTGGAACATGCTGGAACCTGCTCACCCTGGTGGGCCATCAAGTGGAGCCCCACAAGCACCTGGGTGGCCCCGCTTAGTACTGAAATGTCCTGAATAGAGGCTGCTACCATGAAATGGGCCAGCCGCCGCAGGCTCGGCCTCCCCACAGCCCCCACCTGAGGCCCTGCCTCACAAGGGGGCTTCAGGAGGAGGGAAGGGGCACAGAGCCCTGCCGGCCCAAACCGGAGGCTGCCCAGCTCACTTGTCCCCTCTGCTTCTCCCAGGGGTTCAGGCCCCGGTGGAGAGCTCACTTCTCATCATGAATGAAAGGAGAGATACCAGAGGGGGCATGGAGAGCATGCTGAGACCCAGGCCCTCCCTCCGTCCCAAGCTGTCAAACCATGACAACCAGCTCCTTCTTGAGAGGCAAGATGAATGGCAAGAAAGGCCTCCACAGGTTTCTTCATGCCTCTCAGCCAAGATTCCAGTCTTTAGGGAGACTGGAGGTCTGGGGGGCGAGCCGGCAGGTGGAGGACTGGCGGCTGCTTGTTGGGGGGGCGCCCAGGGGCTGTGGGCAGTGCCGTGCTTCCCCACAGTGGAGATGAGTTTTGAGGCTGGTCCTCTGGGGGAGGAAGCTGGCAGCGGGGAAGTTGCTGTGCTGGCAGGAACAGGGGAGAGCTATCGGCAGGCGAACCCAGTGGGGACACGGCCTCAACCGGCTTCCTGGACGGGGCTGCTCACTCTCAGAGCCCCCGGCCAGGGCAGCAGAGCCTGACACCCAGCCCCTCAGTCTGTGCCTGTCCCCCTTGGGCCTCTCCAGGCTGAGATGATGCTCTTCCCCGCTTCCTCCAGGCCCTGGCGTGTGCCAGCAGCAGGCACACTGGAAGGCGGGCAGGGCAGCCAGGGGCTGAGCGTGACAGGGCCACCCCCGCTTGGACCCCTCCCAGGTCGGGGCAGAGGCGGTTAAGTGTGGCAGGGTGAGGGAGGGCTGGTTTAAAAATGAACAAAAGCAAAAACAAAAAAAGCAGCGGCATGTGTATTGGAAGGAGGGATGGACCAGGAGGAGCTGTGGATGGACATGCAGGCAGCAGCTGTAAGCCCACCTGGGCACTTTTAGAAAAAAACAAAAAACACCCAAAGAACCCCATAAACCCTGAATCCCCTTCCCGTGCTCCTGAGGGATAATCTCACATGCTCTCTGGGTCTGCTGCTCTGCCCTGTGAGCAATGTCTTCCACTGAGCTCTCTCCGGGGCCGCCCCAGGCCTCGTGACCCACTGTGGGGTAGCAGGGGCAGCCACCCCTGCCGGCTGTGTCCTGTGTCCTCGGGGCCTGGCACCCCATCTGGTGCTGTGGGGGCCACTCCCCCAGGGCCGGTTACTGCTCCGAGGCTGGAGTGGGGTGGCAGGCGGCCTGAGACTTTTTGCAGCGTCCACTCTGCTCCGCTCCCAGCCCATGCCCTACTGCTCCTGGGTGACTGGGTCTGGGGCTTTCCGGTGGGTCCTGGGGCCTGGGCTGTGGGCCTCGAGGGGTCTGCCCTCACCTGCAGGCTCTTCTGAGCCCCACTGGGGGCACGCCTTTGGCCTCTGTGCCTTCTGGCTCCTAGTAATGACATTGAGAAGGGGCAGCGTCAAATGCCAGAGCCAGCCCAGAGACACCCTCTCTCCCTGGGTGGTCCCTGGAAGCTATCGTTGACATGGATCCTCAGGCGCCACATGCACTCAAGCTGGCCACCCCACCCTGGCGAGACCTCAAGGGTCCCAGCGCACCCTCCCTCCAGTTCTCAAAGCAGCTTAGCTAGGCCTAGGGGAGCCTCGGACTTAGAGGGAAGAGGAGCAGAAGGGAAGGTCCCACTTGAAAGGACTCCCGGTGGAGACAGCAGGACCCATTCCTGGCCTGGGTCTTGCAGCCCAGGCTCAGAACCCCAACTGCGGACTGAAACCTCTCTGCCGCTCATCCATGCTCTGTGCCTCAGTTTCCTCCCCTGTGACGTGCATCACAGTGCCTGTCTTGTGGCAAGGTGCTGTCAGCATTAAATAACTGGGCACTGCTGGCTGTGACTCTCCGAGCCAGGCTCTCTCATGAGAACCCGTAGACAAGACTTACTGTGCCTGCCATGCAGGCGAGGAAAGTGAGGCTCAGAGAGCGGAGATGACACAGCTGGTCATGCAGAGCCAGGACACGAACCAGGTCGCTGGCCTCCCACGCCCTTTCTGTGGAGCCCACGCCCCAGTGCCTCACAGGCAAGTGGACCAAGGCAGGTGGGGGCAGCCCTGGTGGTTTTCTGGAGAGTTTCCACTGGACACGGAGTCCACTCAGGCCCCTCAACTCTCCCGTCCTTTCAGGGACTCTGTGTCCCCCACTTGGCCTGAGCACAGCGCCGCAGCAGGGAGAGGCTCAGCCACCAGAAATGGCCCACGTGGGCACCACTGAGCTGACCCCTAACCAACCACCCAGCCTCCCCAGTGCTCACCTCTCCCGCCCTGAGGCGGGGGGCCCGGGGACTCCTAGGGTCCTGCGGATGTAGTCTCGGGAGCGGATGTCAGCCTGAGGAAAGGGATGGCTCAAGTGAGAGGTGGGGGCTGGGGTGCTGCGCTGGCCTCTGGACAAGCCCCCCCCCCCCCCCCCACGAACAGCGTGGTGCAGATGCTCTCTCTCTCTCCTGAGAAAGCCCACGGAGGTGTCAGGCCATCACAGGCCCAGCCTTCGGGACAAGGGGCAGCAGCCCCATAGGTGTTGGGGGGCGGGATGCTAGGCCCTCTGGTCAAAGTCCTGTGATAGCAGGTCTCCAAGGGCCCAAGTGAACAGGTTGAGGTGCGGGTTCTGGGTCCCTTCCACGTTTCAGCTGGAGCCGCGTGGTTTTCACTAGGTTTATAGCTTTTGCTTCCTGTAAGTTTTGCTGGAGCCAAAGGTTTCTCTGCTAAAACCCTCTTCTTGGAGGGTTCTCCTCAGGCCAGCTTGTCTGACCTCCCTTTTGGTTCACCATCTGCCTCCCTGACTAGCATCAGTCACAACCCCTAGCCCTGGGGAAGTGTTTATGGAAAGTTCTGTGAAGTCACTGAATGAAAGGGGGCTTGTGGGCCACAAGCTAGGATCAGGGCAGGCCCCTGGGGAGGGGCTCAGGCCCAAGCAGGACCCCCAGCGATCTTGCTGCCCCAGCTCTCCCACAGATTGACTCCCACTGTCCCCCTCCTGGGGGCCTGGCCTCAGGAAGGCCCCTGATCCTGGCTCAGATGGGCTTAGCCCCACTTCAGGTACCTGTACAGGATACAACAGCTAATCCCCCAGACTGCTTCTGCTTCACAGTGAACAGGCAAGCATGCCGGGGTGGGCAGCAGGACGTTCTGGTGGGAAGACACCCCATGAGGTGAGAGGCAGCACCTCTCACCTGCCCCTGCAGCCGCTCGGCCTGGCCTGCAGGAGAGAGCCCAGGCCTGACACCAGGGATGCAGCAGGAGTGCGACCAAGGGGCCCCCTCAGTGGCCTAGGGAGGGGGACCCACAGGTGCCATGGAAAGAGGGAGCAGGCACTAGGCCCCTCTCTCATCCTCTCCTAGGAGCTTCTGGGTAGATTCAGGAGGGCAAATTGTTGATAGGCAAGTGGGCCAGGAAGAAAATGGACCAAGAGAGCCAGTGCCGCTGGATGGCCTCACCGCACTCCTGGAAGAGACAGGGACTGTGGGCCCCTGGCTTTTCTCCCTTGGGAGTGTAGGCCCAGGAATTCAGCAGGCTCTTCTTGAAGGTTAGACACACAGTCCTCACCCTCCTTGAGGTGCTCAAGGCAGGTAGAGGCTATACCCTCACTTGCAAAGATGGGACCAATGCCCACTCTGGGGCAAAGCGAGGCATGGAGGGAACAGGGACCTATCCCACTGTAACAGCACAACAGAGTCCTCAGTTCTGAGGGTTTGGGGAGAGTTCTTGGGTTTTCTTCCCGAAGGTTGCACAGGTGGATGGGAATGGAGGAGGAAAGGTCTTCTGGGGGCCAGGACATACATCACAGGCTTGAGAACCCACACACCTATGAACCCAGCGGAGCCCTGGACGGGGAGAGAGGGAGGCTGAGGCTGGTGGACTCTGAGCGAGTCCACTCTGAGAAGCCACCGGAGAGGCCTCGGCAACTCACAGCCCTGAGTGGCTGGCACCAGGAGCTGTGCCAGCTGAGCCACAGCAGCGCGCAGCCTGCTGCTGCCATCTGGAGGCCACCCTGCACACCAGCAGCTGGGGAAGGCCCCAGGCTCTGAGGAGCTGGTAGCCACGGGCAGCAGGGCAGTGGGGCCTCCCAGGGTGGGAGAAGCAGAGCCAGTGCCCTTGAGTTTTCCACCAGTGACACCAGCTGGTGCTGAGCTGTGCAGACTGGCTCTCGGCAGTCTGGCCTGTGGCCCCTCTGCATCACCTCGAGCTGACACAGCACAGGCCGAGAGGAGACGGGGAGTAGCAGGCACCAGGGAGACCTGTAGGTACTTTGCCCTGTCATCCCACAGCAGACCAGCACTAAGCGAGCAGCCCAGGCTCTGAAGCTGGGCTGCAGAAACTGTACAGAAAGCAGCGCCTCTTGTCCAGGTCAGCTCCCCCAGCTCCTCCGAGCTGCAGAGCCGCCGCCTGTGAAGGCAAATCTGACCGTGTGCCCTCTCAACTCACACCCAAGTCGCTGTGGTGGAGCCTGGAGCTCTACCCCAGGACACTCACAGGCTTCCACCAACAATGCGCCTCCCTGCCATGGTTCCAGCCACACTTTTCTCTGAGTTTCTTGGCATCGAATTCATTTCTTCCCCAAGGCCTTTGTAAACACTGATCCTTGGGCCTGGACTGCCCTTCCACCCTCCTCCAGCCGGTCTCTTCCTGAGGACAGCTTCTTATGGATCCTCCTTGTTCCGCGGGCTTCTCTGGGACACACACCCACTCGTGCCTAGTGACCCCCCGTCACGGCTGAGCCCAAGGTGGGCCCGTGGGCATCTTGCCCTCAGCTCTATCTCCTGAAGGCTGAGCTTTTTCTCAGCTCAGCCAACCCGTTCACCAGAGTTCTGACCGTATAGCCCTGATTTAGGTGCTGGGTGCCTGGCACGGCCACACCCTGGAGTCTCCTAATTGACGTCCCTGGTGCCAACACAGGCCTTCCTCAGTGCTGCCCAGCAGCCCTGCAGGGGCCTCCCCAGCCCAAGACGGCCACTCCTTCCCAGGCCAGCTGGGCAGGTCAGGCCCTGAGGGGCTGGCTGGGAGCTGGCAGGACACTCTCCCAGCTGAGCTGACGTCAGCAGATTCTCCTGATGACCCTGGTACTGGGTACAGCAGGCTGAGAGGCTGAGCGCAAGAGCACAGTGAACCCCAAGGCCCAGGCAGGGCAGAGCCCCAAGATGAGCTCCCGGGAGCTCTGCATCCTCTGATACCCCCTCCTCCCCCCAGGGCCCAGCATGGCCCAACCAGGCTCTCCCACAGGCGCTGGTGCAAGGAAAGAGCAGGTGGTGTGCACCAGCCCACCCACCTGGCAGCCCACCCACCTGGCGCACGGGCTCTGGGACCCGGAACCTGCAGCAGACGAGGGTCAGGCGCACGGCCGCCTCCAGGCTGATCTTGTGGCCCACAGAGATGTAGAGGGGCTTGGTGCTATGGTCGTGGCTCTTCAGGGCCTGGGACAAGGAAGGCGAGGTCAGGGCACTGGGTGGACAAGCTCTGAGGGCTGGAGGGTGGACATGTCCTGGGTGGCGGGTGGGGGCTTGGGGGTACCTGCAGCACCCTCGGGGCACCTTTCTGCTGCTCATCCTGGGGGCAGGGAGGGGCAAGTGCAGCCCAGAGGTCCCCTCAGCACAGCTTGGGGCACAGGACAAGATGGGGAGAGGTGGATGGGGGCCCGTGCGTGTGCAAGCGCATGTGTGTACATGGGTGCTGACTCAGGGCGCAGCTGACCCTCGGCTGAGGGGCTTGCCTGGGTGAGGCACAGGCCCCTGGCCACTCACCATGCCCAGGACAGTTCCAGAGCCTCCCATCAGAGGAAAAGAGTCTCCTCCGGCCCGCAGAAGTCGTATCTGGGAAATGGGAAAGAAGACTTGGAAAAACATGTTTTCTTGGTGAAGAGCTGAAGGCAGGCCTGTTCATTTATTTTAAAACCCGAGCAGCCAACGGGCAAGGAGAGGGAAGGGCTGACCCCGCGTATGGCCACAGCCCAGACAAAGCCCAGTGGCCTGACGGCCGTGCTCACACCCATCCCACCCCATGAACAGGGCCGGCGACCAGGGCACTGCCCGTTCTGACGTCCCACCCTGACAAGGCCCTTGGAGCTCAGCTCTCTCCTCCCTGCTCTACAGCAGAGAAGGTGGGGGCCTGGAGAAGGCGCAACAGCCTGCCCACACCACAGTGCTGGGGGGTAGAGGCTCCAGGCTGGTGGACACACAGGTGCCAACGGGCCACAACCCATGCCGAGGCCACTTCCTGCTGCTTTCTCTCCTGCTGAGAATTGGGGCATATTTGATTCAACTCAACAAACTTTTCTGGGAAGAGTGGGGATTGGCGCACCAAGTGGGTCAGGGGTCACCTGAGTTGGGTCTGGGGTCTCTGTCAACTCAAACAATTGCTCCATGCAGATGCAGGACTGCCTGGAGAAATGAGACAAATATGACCTCTGTTCAGAGCTTGCCGTCCAATGGGAGAGCTGGGCATGTCATGGGCAATCCTGGGAGTGGGGCATCACATCCCCAGTGCCAGCCACAGGGGCCCAGAGGAGGGACATGCGGGAGAAAGTGGGGCCAGGAAATGCCCAGGCGGGCTGGGGGGCACCTCGAGCAGGGCCTGGAGGCAGGGGGTAGGGAGAAGCACGGAGCACTGTGCAGGCTCCCAAATGTCCTGTCCCCAATAACCAGAGGCTGTGCCCCTAAGTGGGGCGCCCAGCAGCCCGGAGGTGGCGGGGACGGGAGAGGCAAGTGCACCCAGGAGGCTGGGGAAGGCGCTCAGAGGGCGCTCGGTGAGGCTCCTGAGTCTGCCGCCATGACCCACCACCCACGGGGAACACACAGGCCCAGAGAAAAGCGGGTCTTCCTTACCCAGGGTCAGGGATCCCAGACCCCAGGACGGGGAGAAGAGGGTCAGCAGGCAACGGCCGCCCAGAGCAGGCAGTCTCCAGCGTCGCCCCGCTGTCCCTGTGGCTGTCCCAGGTGCATACCGTCTGAGCCTGCATGCCCCCCACAGGCCCACCCCTCACCTTCTCCTTGTGCAGGGCATTGTTCTCCAGCCCGTCCACTTGCAGGAGTTTCTTGGCTACCCCGATGCACGGCAGGTCTATGAGGATGCCGAGGTGACAGGCCACCCCAAAGCCTGCAGGGGCAGAGGGTGAGGCTGGGGCAGAGGGGCAGTGAGCCAAGCAGTCTCGAGACGGTATGGGAACTAGGGACAAACCAGAACCTCAGCGAGTTTCCCCAAACAGAGGCCCGTCGGCGGGCCGAGGGCTGGGGAGACAGTACTTGGAGCCCCAGCCTGACCTTTGTCCTGACTTCACGGGTGTCAGCCCAGGGTGGAGGACATCTCCTTCCCTCTAACCAGATCAAGGGCCTAATTAGCACGCTCACAATACTTGACCCCATTTCTCCTTTCATTTTCTGGCACCTTCCATCCTCTTCTCCTCTTTGTGGCCGCCATCAGGCCTCTGTGTCTCTGTCCCCTACGCCCCCAACACATACTCTGGGGCTCCTGCCAGATGGCCCATATTGCAACGACTGGGGCCCCGGCCCAGGAATGGCCTGCTAGGCCTGCACAAGCGTCCAGGGTGGAGCATGTCCACCCTTTGGCTCTGGGCCCACAGGCTCCCAGGGCAGCAGACAAAAGGCTCAAGGCCACCCTTTCCTGGCTCCCTCTGCTGCCCCACTCCCAGGTTTGTGTCTGAGGGTAAAACAGCCCCTCTCCATGGTTCTCCCCCAGGCCAAGGTTCCAGGGCCCAGGTGGGAGCAGGTTTTCCCACCTCCGTGGGGAAGGGGCAGTCCTGTCCGTTCCTGTCTACTTTCAGGCAAGGGCCTGTCAGGACGCAGGGCAGGCTGCTGGCAGGACAGGCTAGCTGAACTCAAGGCCCTGTGACTTCTGGTGGCAGGTCCAACCTGGGGGGGCGGCACCTGAGATGGGCCCGCACAGAGTGCTAGGGGAGGCCTTGGGGGCAGGCAGGAAAGCGGTGGGGGTGAAGAGAAGCAGGGGTTCTTTACTGGTGGGGCCCTGACAAGGAAATCAAGCCCAGAAAGGAGCTGTCGGAGCCAGACTGGTGGCAGAGAATCCAGGGCAGGGTACAGGCCTTCTGTGTGGGGCCCTGGGGGCAGACCCACCCCCTCCTGGCCTCTTTCCCACAGCCCTCCTGGGCCCTGTCTCTCGGGAGCAGGATTACCTTGGTGGTGGAGCACCCCATTTCCATCTACAAGAAGGACCTGGAAGAGCCACAGGAGAAGGTCACAGTCAGCTGAACTGCCCCTCGCCCATCAGACCGGGGCGTCCGGGAGCAGGAGGAGGGGTGGGACAGTCACTTCCGGGTTCCAGCTTTTTAGAAAGCCTTGTCTCTCTCCTCAAGGCAAAGTGTATCTTCTCCAGGCAGCTCACTAGGCTTGGGTGGTGGTGGTCTGCAGAGGCCTTCCCTCCCAAGTCGAGGTACCTGCCTGGGGCATGAGGTGGGGGTCCTTCTCCTGCAGCCGCCGCACTGCGTCCACCAGGAAGGGCACCTCTCGGAAGGCCAGGAAGCCTGACACGTAGGGGGCCGTCAGGCTCACCATGCGGCAGTCCTCATACACCACCTGTCACCAGGCACCAGGTCACGGGCAGGGCTCGGCCCTCGGCCACCTGCCTTCCCACACGCCCTCAGCCCTTCATCCATCAATCTGTTTCACTGCTAACTCCCTCTCCCTCTCCCAGGCCCACCCCCTCGCCCCCTTCCCTGCCTCACCTATCTGGGAGGAAAGTACAAGAAAGGACAGATGATCTGCCCTGCAAATTGGTGGCAGGAAATCAACCCGCTGACGTTTCAAAGGTGCTGGCTGCACTCTGTGGGTCTCAGGCCCTCCTCAGGCCGCCTCCTTTGTAACTTAGAGCTGACGCCTCCCCCATCCCACTGCACCAGGCTGTTCGGAGGCTCAAAGAAGACAAAGCGCAAGAAGCACCTGAGTGGAGGGCGAGGGGACTCAGGACGCCAGGACACCGCCGCTGCACGTGAGAACGGGCCTCCGGGAAGAAAAGGCCAGGACTTCACAGAGGTTGCACAGCAAGAAAGGCAACTCCAGGTTTATAAAAAGAGATTTCAAATCATTCAGAAACAAACAGGCGTGATCTCAGAGCTAGACAGCCTGAAAGAGAACAGGGGTCCCACGGGATGGGAGAGCCTAAAAAGAAAAATTCTGAGGCTGCAACTGCGAACAATCCCAGAGAGAGAAGGGGAGACACCGTGGCGTGCTGGAGCCCCTGGGAAGTCAGTGGGGCGCTAGAAGGCCTTGTGCAAATTGGGAGGAGGGGAGGACATGCGTCTGAGGGGTCAAGTTTGGAAGCAGGGGCCCATATGGTCAGGGCTGCCCAGAACTGCCGGGGACTCCCTAGAGAGCTTTTACATGTGTGGCTCCCTTTCTCAGGGCTTCTCTGGCAGAGACTGGTCTTCAAACTGAAAAGTTCCTAACACAGCAGGGAAGAGGGTGGCCTTGTCCGTACTTGACTGGAACCGTAGGGGACCCACTCAGAGTACAGTGATGGCAGCCTGGGGTCCCTTAGAGTGAGACTGGCCTGAGACGGAGACACGTTTCCCACTAGGCACACACTCTCCAGAACCCTCAGACATCCTGGATTGTTAGTGAACACCCCCCAAACTCTTGGTGATAGCTTTCAAAATCACAACTTGCACCCCTCCCTTGAAGCTGGGTCAAAACCACATGTCCCTAAGAGAAGGGATCACTCTCTATTAGTATGGAGGGCGGGGCTTGTCCTTTCAACATTTTTATCAATGACTCATAGGAAACTTATCAAACTGCCCATGACCCAAAGTGGGCACAGTCCAACCAGATGACAGATCAGAGAAGTCCATTCACAGTGAACCAGCAGGGGGGGTGCTGCACCCCACACAACAGTATGACTTTTCACAGGGACACACGTGAAGCTCAAGTGTGGCCTGAGTTTTCACAGGATGATGGCGGCTGCTTACATCTGTAGCTCTCCGCACAAGCTCCAGAAACCAGAGATCCACAAGGAGAGGAGATACCACCCCACATACCCTGTGCCCACGGCATAACCAGGAGACGAGCCCATTACAAACATCAGTGTACACCTACGTGGGGAAATAAACAGCCCGGCCAGCAGAGCCAGCTCCAGGCACCACACTGGGCAAAGACAGGTGAGGAGTGGGGACTGGGCGAGGGGCAGAGCAGCGGGTCCTAGTGGTGGGGAACCTGAGGGAATGAGATCTGGTGGGCAGCCCAGCCAGCAAGGACCAGAAGGAAAAGGCCTGGAAGTATGTGGGGCCAAGAGCAGCCTTCTTGGGAAGCTGCTTCTGGGGAGAAGCTGCTTCTGGGGAGAAGCAGGTGAGCCCTGGGGGCTCGTGGTGAAGAAAGCAAGGCCGGAAGCGTAAGGTCCTTTGGAAACAAGAGTGTCAAAGAATCAGAAGACACGCTGGCCATCTTTGCCTCAGAAAAAGGCACCATTATGGCAGCGACTACACTTCACTGTCCCTCATGATCTAAGAAACCCAAGAAGCCACCCAAGCCCCAGGCCCTCCAGTTACCTGTTTAAATACAACTTAAAGGGCCGGCCCCGTGGCTTGGTGGTTAAGTGCGCGCGCTCAGATGCTGGCGGCCCGGGTTTGGATCCTGGGCGCGCACCGATGCACCGCTTCTCCAGCCATGCTGAGGCCGCGTCCCACATACAGCAACTAGAAGGATGTGCAGCTATGACATACAACTATCTACTGGGGCTTTGGGGGGAAAAAATAAAAATAAATAAAATCTTTAAAAAAAAAAATACAACTTAAAATGAACAGTGAAAGGCTGCACAAAGCTAGTACAGGAACTCAGCCAGCAGCAGTCAAAACTCGTCAGCTGATGAAATGCCGCCCCCAACCAGTCGTGTGGCAGAGGAAAGTTAACTTCTCTTAAACAGTAGATAGAGAAGAACACCACAAGGCAGAAATTCAGAACTCAGGACAGAAATGGACAAAAAAACAGGAAAGACAGAAAACCCAGCATACCTATGACTGAAGAAGAGAAACAAACTATGGAGCAGAACTAATAAATAGAACTAATACTTAAAACCACAATCCAAGAAACTTTCCAAAAATAAAAGCAGATCTGACCCCACATATTGAAAAAGCCAACTGTGAACTTGGGGAAACTGACCTGGAACAGTTGACTTAAGATGTATCTTAGTGAAAAAAGAGTAAAGAAAACAGGCAACAAACTGGACCAACCAGACGCCACAGTAAACACAGCCCAATGGCAGCAGCGACTGTGACACAGAATCTGTGTGGGACCCTACAGGTCAGAACACCAAACCAAAGCAGCCTTAAGAGACAGACGGGGACCACTGGGTACACGCGGTGTGGGATGGGATTCAGGTGACTTTATGGGATTATGGGGATTTTTCTGCAGTGTGATAATGACACTGCCCTTGTGTAGAAGAGTGTCATGCTCAGGACAGGCCTGTTGATGTACTCAGGGGTGAACTGTCACCACCTCTGGGAGGCACTCTCAAACCGTTCAGTACACAGTGGAATCCAAACACAGCGTGTACAGGGGTTCAATGTATTATTCTCTCGATTTTTCAGTAGGGTTACATATTTTCAAGTTAAAAATCAGGGGAAAAAAATTCAACTGTGTATTTGGTGTGTGGGCATGATGTGAACAGTCAGTAATCTCTGTAAAGATCTGCAAGTTTCAACCTAAGTTGGCGACGCAGGACCCCTAAAAGCTGACACCATCTTAGGCTGCATTTACGGAAATGATATGCACATGTGTTAGGCCCACTGAACTTGGGGTGAACTACATTTGAGTAGCTCAACTCTGGGTCCCAGATGTAAAGACAAGACCCTAGTAACTGAGGGCGTACCAGAGGGCCAGCAGCAAGCGGGGGAGCTGGAAGCCATGTCAGTGAGACTCCTAGGATGCAGCAGACAAGACAGGAGAGCACACAGCTGTGTTCAGATAGTGGAAGGGATGACACGTAGGAGGGCGAGAAAGGTCTGTTCTGTGCTGTGCTGCCTGCAGGCAGAATCCATGGGCAGAAGTCACAAACAAGTAAATTTCATCTCTGTAAGAAAAAGAACATTCCAACCAGGTGTCCAACTACGGAATGGGCTCCATTGTGAGGCCATCATTCGTCAGGGATGCTGAGGAAAGGATTCCTGGGTGCATGATAGGTGGACCAGTGATTCCCACCCTGGCTTTGCTTCCGAATCACAGGGAAGCTTGTTTAAAAAAGCAGATTTGCAGGCCATACACTGGGAGATTTTTTTCCAGTAAATGGAGTAGGGCTCTGGGATCAATATTTTTTTAAAAACAACTTTATTGAGATATAATTGACTACCATAAAGTTCACTTGTTTGAAGTGTATAATTCAATGTTTTCTGGTATTTACAGAGCTGTGCAACCAATACCATAATCTAATTTTAGAATACTTGCATCATCCCCCAAATAAACCTTGTACCCATTGGCAGTCACTCCCCATCCACCCCACTCCCTAGCCCTCGGCAACCACAAACCTACTTTCTGCTCCTATGGATTTGCCTATGGAATCTGCATTTCTTTTTTTTTTTTTTTAAACAATTTATTTATTTATTTATTTCCACCAAAGCCCCAGTAGATAGTTGTATGTCATAGTTGCACAGCCTTCTAGTTGCTGTATGTGGGACGCGGCCTCAGCACGGCCTGAAAAGCGGTGCGTCAGCGCACGCCCGGGATCCAAACCCGGGCCGCCAGCAGCAGAGTGCGCGCACTTAACCGCTAAGCCACGGGGCTGGCCCGGAATCTGCATTTCTAAATACACTCCAGGTGACTCCGATTGTGCAGACCCATGATGGGGCATTTGGGAGCCACTGGACCAGACTCTTCCAAGATCCTTTCCTACTCTAAGCTTCCACGGCACAGGATGACAAAGGCTGACTACATCCTAGTAGCAGACGCTTTGCTCGGTGCTGAGGTTATAGAAGAAATACGACATCTCTCTACCCTTGAGAACCTCCAGCCAGTGGGAAAGACAGAATGTAAACCAGTAACTTTACTACAATGTGAGAAGTGCTGTACTAGCAGATGCATAAGAAAGAGGCCTAGGACAGAGTTGAGGGGGTGCTTAATTCTGCAGCCAGGGAAAGGTACAGAGCGATGGGAATATGTGAACTGGGTCTTGAAATGCGTGAAGTCATCCTAAGAGTTAACAGTGGCTAACAATTATTTACTGAGGGCTTACCATGTGCTTGTTAAGCTAACTGCTTTCCATGCACGATCTCACTTACTCCTCACCACAACTCTGAGTTGGTATGAATACTGTCACCATCCCTCAGTTAGAATAGAGGAAATGGAGGCCCAGAGAGGTTAAGTGGGGATGGCAGTTCCAGAGGTAGGAACCCCAGCAGTCTGGCTTCTGAATCTGTGCCCTACCCTCAACACCACTCTACAAAAGGACCAGGGGACCTATGAGGGCAGGGGCTCTGGTTCCTTCACCACCCTACACTCAGTTCCTAGCACACAGCAGGCGCTCAGTACACTTTTGCAAAATTTTGACTAAAGGAGTCTTCCCAGGAAAGTGCAAAGACGTTGAGGCAGGAAGAGGCCGTCTTTTCGAGCAGGCAGAGGAGCAGGGAGGGGGGAACGCTGCAGCACAAACTTTCTTGTCAAGCTCTTCTTTAGCCAAGGCTTCCTGAGCTGTTGACTCCAAACGAATAGTGGGCATACTGTTCACTCATAGGCACATCTATTCGAGTGTCTTCTACATGCCAGACATTGAGCTAGGTGCTGAAGCTACCAACAGTGGGCAAGACAACATGGTTCCTACCATCATGGAGTTTACATTCTGGTAGGGGAGACAGACAGGCCAATTCAATTCCAGCGTGATAAAGAGGAAAGAGAGGGTGCTGCAAGACGAGGAAGGGCTTACTGGAGGACCTGAGATGAGCAAGAATTAGCCAGGTGAAGAATATTCCAGGAGAGGCAACATCACCACAGAGGTCAGGCAGGCAGAGACAGCATGCTGTGTGTGTGAGGAATCCCAAGTCCTCCAGAGTGGGAAGTTGCGAGTGGGTGAGGACTGTGGGTGCTGGTGAGAGCTGAGCCTACAGCGTTACATTATGCAGAGGTCAGATCAAGAAAGGCCTTTACGCCTTGTCAGCGAGTGTGACCTTTACTTACCACGAGGTCATGGGATGGGCACTGAAGTGTTTTAAGTGGACTAGGTGGTGATGTGGTCACATTTGCTTTTTAGGAAAATTGCTCTGCTGGCAGCATGGAAAAGGGACCACCGAGGGCAATTCTGGAAGGAAGGAGCCCAGTGAAGATTCTGCTCGGCATCTACAGAAGGGGTGACAGTGGCACAGCCAGGGAAGGGGCAGCAGGGACACAGACAAAGGACAGACTCCAGTGATATTTAGGAGGCAGAACAAAACGTAGCTAGCATGTGACTGGAGATGAAGGGTCCAGGAAGACAAGGATTCCAGCTTGGGCAACTTGGGGGTGTGTTGTGCGGGTCACTGAGAAAGGAGCTCAAGATGACAATCAGCTTGAAGTAAAGATCATGAGTTAATTCAAACTTAAGTCACAGAATTTCCTTTAGTTTTCACCTCCTCTCCTACTTTCTTCAAGGACTTCCCAATCTATTAATGAAATCCTACAAACGGAGAAGCGGGGTTCTACCCTGGCTTTGTTCCCTGTCCCGGGGCCCTGCCTCTCTCACTAAAGCACCCCGAGCCCGAGCGGGACGGCCCTGGCCAGCGACCCCCGCGGTTACCTTGAGCTCAGGGTAGCTGAGCACCACTAGGGAGGCGCAGGCGCTGACACTGTCGCCCTTCACAAAGGACACATCCACGCCCCCGACCCTCTGCAGGCCCGAGAAGGCGGGGTCCCGCTGCCACGCCTCCGTGTCCCGGTCTACGACGCGGGCCTTCAGCCGGGCTTGTTCCCTGAGGGCAGACACACGTCCAGTAGGCCGCTCGGCCCAGCTCCCCCAAGCCCGGGGTCTGGCTGCGGCGCCCCCCGCGGAGGCCCAGGCCCAGGAGTTGGGGCTCTTCGGGGCCCCTCCCGGTCTCAACCCCCTCCCCGGGAACCCCAGACCCGGCGCCGGAAGCGGGGCGCAGCTGACCCCGCGGACTACAACTCCCGAAGCCCCGTCCGTCCGCGCGCCGGAAGTGGGCCCAGGCTCCGGCGGCCCCAAAGCCTGGAGTCACGAGGTCGGAGGTCGACCGGGAGCCACGTCGCTCCAGCCTCCGGGTCTTGCGCGTCCCTCGACCCCATTACCGTTTCCAGAGCGACAACGTTTCCTCTGGCGGGCTCCCCGGCAGCTCCTCGGCCATGGCGCAGTGGCGGGCGCCCCTTGCGTTGTCGTCACTTCCGGAGGCGCCGCGCGCAGACGCCGTGCGGCCCTCCTTGCCGTGGGGGCGCCGGGTCGGGGCACGTGGAGCTGGCCTGACCGGGTCCGCAGACGTCGCCGCCCAGTGGCTAGCCGCCAGCCCTGCCCCGGTCCAGGCCGGCGGAGTCGGGCGGGTCAGGGCTGCCTGTGTGGAGGAAGGAAAGTTGTCCCTTCCTAGGGGCTCTGCAGGTCTGGAAATTCAGCTGACACAGATCAACAGGAGAGAAGCATGCACGTTTGCTGATTGTTTACCTGTGCACGGAGCCTTCCCCCAAGAATGAAGCCCGGAAGACCAGAGCGGGAAGCTCTATACCTTTTAGACAAAGAAACAATGAATTTGTGAAGAATTGGCAAGACAGAGGGGTCTGGGCTATGCGTCTTAAGTGATGAAGGCCTGGCAAGGTTTGTGTATACACCTTCGCGCCCTGAATTCCCGGCCTCTCTGGTGATAAGGATGTCTCCCTTCCTCTTGATAAGGGAGCCGCCCTTCCACATGGGGGATTTAGAGTGAGAAATGGGAGAGCAGAGTGACCTTCCTGCTTCTGCCCTTTTCTCCAACTGCTTTGGCTTAGGATATTCAATGTGATACCGGCTCACGACAAGGTTGACATAAGGGAAGCCAGATGGTAGAAAAGAAACCCTATTGCAACTTTGAATGACCTCTGACTAACTAACCCAGCTGGATATGCACCCTCCAGGAGATCTAACTGCTCTGTAGATTTTACCACCCCTGCTTGTGCCTGTACCTCCCAGCTGCTGTAAGATATAAGATACCTTTGTTCTTTTGAGTTCTTTAGGAATGTGATGACCCCTGAACAGAGAGTCTATGCTGATAGCCATCATCAATGAAAACGGAAAAGACTGGTGTGGCGACTCCCAGTCTGTAACACCTGAGGGTCCACATTCCTAACCCCCTCCCCTATAACCCACTGGCCTATGTAACTGCTGTAAGATTTTGTACCCCCTTAAGATGGTTCTTTGAGACATTAGTCGGTCATCTTCCCCCTTGCTAGCAAGCTATAATAAATAGTCCTTTCTCTCCTATAACCTTGCCTCTTGACTATTGGCCATGTCTTGCCATGGCCAGACAAACCCCCCCATTTTTGGGCATTGACAGATATGCCAATGTGCCAGCCACATTTTGGGGCTGTGTGTCCTGAATGCCGTCACGGAGCATCTGCTCTTTACATGACACCTTGACTTCAGTTTCAATGACGATCTAAAGTGTTTGAGGGCAGGACACAGCCCTTAGAGGGGCAGACCCACGAATCTGGGTGGATCTTGGGCAGAAAGCCTTACCCACCAGACCAAACACGGACTGCCTTTGGAACATGGACTCTTACCCCGAATGGGTCAATTTAACGAATATTTGTTCCATGCTCTCTTCATGCCAGGCATTGTGCTGGATGCTGGGGTTCCACTTGCCTCAGGGTGTGACTGCAGTTGTGCTGAATGCTAGAAGAGAAGTAAAACCAAAGCCCACTTGAAACTGTGGGTGGGAAAGGCCTCTCTGAGGGGTGGTATTTAAGAGGACACTGAAGGGCAAGGAGGCGAGAGCATTTCAGGAAAAGTGATCAGCATGGGTAAAGGTCTTGAGGTGCTGCAGGGCAGCCAGTGAGGCTCACCTGCAGCGATTTCACCCGTGGTTTATATCATAGGGGAACTCAAGAGAAGTATATGGACAAGTGATGTAGTCTGGATAGAGATCTCAAGAAGAAAATACGGAAGACGAGGATTAGAGTCTGAGATTCAGGAAAGGTTTGGTATGGCATTTGACCACTGGTGGCACCTTGAGAGAGAGTGAGTTTTCAGCTGGGAGAGGGAATGGGTACCGTTTCTTGAGCACCCACTGCATCCAGGCAGCATGCTCATGCATTTACCTGCACTTTTTTCTCACCACAGCACTGAGAGTGTTTTACAGATGGGGAAATTGAAGCATAAAAGGTCAAGTGGCTTGCACAAGGTCTTAGAGCTGGCAAATGGGCCAGCCAAGATTTACTCTGGTCCGTCAGGGCTGTGTTGTCAGCCTTGTCATGTTACAGAGTCATCGGGACAAAGAGACGCTTGGGTTTGGTAACTGGGAGTCATTCATGGGCCTGTGGCAATGGGGACGAAGTGAGTGGGTATTGAGGAAGTAGCTGTGTGCTGGGTTGCGGTTCTGTTGTGCTTCAGGGTACAGGTGTGATAATCGGAGGGAATGCTGGGGACTGGGGCACTCCTAGCAAGTGTAGGTGTGAAGGGAAGGAGAGCAGGGTTGAAGGCAGGCTCTTGTAGGATGTGGGAAGTCCTGGGGCCCCTTGCAGTTGCTCTGGCTAGGGCCCTTGCCCCTCTAGTTTCACTGTGCTCTTGCCCCTGATGGCTTCCACCTCCTCAGAAGGCAGGGTCCTGCTGTCCCCAAAATACACTTCAGAGAGTCTGATAAGGTATGAATTCTGCCAGCGTTTGCTTTCTTGGGAGAAAGCACTTTTCTGGTGCTTGTTTTTACAGTTGGAAACGGGATTCATAATGTTTGAGCATAGGCTTAATTAGTGACCAGAAGGGATTAGAAAATGCAGAAAGCAATATAAATGCTAATCTTGGTTTAGATGGATTGCTGTTCAGCTCCAGCCTCAGGTTTCCTCCTTCCGCCTCCCCATCTAGTCTTTCTCCAGGCCCAGCTGACACAGCAACTGTACACTTAGCACCTATCGCCTTTGGTCAGAGATGTAGTAGTGCCCATGTGTGGCTGGACACAGGTAGCTTTACCTACCACGCAGGGCCCTTTGACCTGATGTTTTCTTCACGATGATTGTTTATCATTGCAAGTTTGTTTCTAGGCTGTAATTGTCTGTAGGAATAACAGAAATAGCTCATGACTGTCTCAGTTAAGGAAACCTACAGCTGTTAATGAAGGTAAATAATTTACACACACAGTACGGTCTTAAAGGGGAGGAGACCGTGCTCAGTTGTGAAAATTTTCAGGTAAGTCACCACCAACCTAGTGACTGTTTCTGCCTGGGCTGAAGGCAGGAAGACCGTGCAATAGGGGAATGTCCAGACGAATGACTCTTACTGCGCCAGGTCCGTTTTTGCCCGCCGCCCAGAAAGCCAAACACTAAGACGACGAGATTGCAGCAGAGAGAGGGTTTAATCACACAGCAGCCAAGTGAGGAAACGGGAGAATGAATTTCAAATCCGCTTCCCCGAAAATAGGGCCTCAGGGATATTTATGGGGTAGAGGGCAAGGTGGTCTGAAATGATTGGAGGTGAGGAGAGATGAAGTAATTGATGATCTGCGCAAGCGTAGTCAGCCTTCATGCCTCTTCATAGGACGCATGTTCACAGAATGGCGGCATTAGCATGCCCTGAGGGTGGAGCTTCCACCTCTTGCTGTCAAAAGGTCGCTTATTAGACACTTGTCTGCCTGGGCCCAGTTGATGGGTTGGTGGTCACAATCCAGCCTGAAGTGGACAAGGGGTTCAGTTCCTGAAAAAAATGGCTCAAACACCCATTATCGTGGTGACCCTGGCTCTTACAGGGGATGTTACCTATAAGAACCTAGTGGGAGTCAGATAGCATACTACCTAAACAGCACAGTTAACAGTGGGTAAGTTTATCACGCAGATTTATCTCGCCTTTTCACCTTCCGCCTTCTGTTCTGATAAGTTTCTAGGTAAGGCCATCCCCCCTTGTTCCTGGTACAAGGAAGAAGATACCTTTACAAATGGAGATTTTCTTTACAAATGTAAATATCTCCTAGAAAGGGTAACCAGAACTAAGAATGGGCTTAGCATGACCCACCCAGGTACCCGGAGATGTCTATGGTGATGGCCTGCTCTGGGGGCAGGCCTCCCATCCCAGACTCCTTTGGTTAGTTAGTGGGGGTGGTGGTCAAAATGTCATTCAGGCAGAGAGGTGGCAAATTTTTTGAGGTGGCAAATTCCAATCCCCCGTAGTTACTAGCTGCTTAATCATCAATGGCTGTTTCCAGGTTTCATGACTGTGAATGGAAATGAGAATGAAGAGGAGGTGGGGAGAGGAAGGTTAGGATTGGTGATGAGATACTGAGGAAATGGAGGCTTGGTGGACTTGAATTAGAAACTATGGGGAGGAAGATGAGTCTGGCAGCGGGGTGCAAGTCTTCCTTTGTAAGCCAGCACATCTCTCCCAGCTATAGTTCCGTACCACAGGCTTCTCTTCTGGAGGAGACTTTTCTTTTTGGAAGGGAAAATGCAATTTTCCCCAAAAGTGGTATTTTGCCACTTGAACATAAGTGGGCTGCTGGAAGCATACTATTTCTCTCTCCCTTATCTTTACTTCCTTTTACTGAGGAGCTGTTTTCCCCACCCCACAACCCCACCCACTGACAGAGGGTTAGCTCCTACTCATTGTTGGCTGGAGCTCTGCTGTCTTCCAGTGAAGCCACTTTAGGCAGGAATGGGCAGACACCCCTCTGAGGCCTCCAAGACTGCTGACTGGGGAGAGGTGGTGAACTCCACTGTGGATCCTCATTCTGCTGTCATTTCATCCAGAAGAGAAGTTTGCCCTCATATTCTAAACCCGAGTGTACGTTTTCTCTCTAGAACCTTCTACTTTATGGAAACCTCTACAGGAACATTTCCACAAACAAACAAAACCATTCCCAAAACCCTAGTTGGTGTCTATTTGCCATAAATAGAAGCTCTGCCTCCAAAGAGAAGGATTCCTTAGCAGTAAAATTCAAGTTTATTACAACAGGAATGACAAGTACAATAAAATTTACATTTGCCTGTGCTAGGCCAGTCTGTCTTTGTACAAACAACAAGGTAATGCTAGATAATGACAGTTAAGGCTTTGAAAGCATAGCATACACAACATCTTAATTAAAAAAACCTTCATAAAAGTGGGGAGAAAATTCCCAGCAGAAAAAAAAAACATCCTCACAGCAAGAGATTGACATCTGACCCCCACCTGCTAAGGTGTGGCACAGGAAGGAACCAGAGCAGCACCTGATGGCCAGGCCAGCTCCATCCCAACTCTGAGGTATCAAAGGAGTTCCCGGTGCAAGGTGAAGAGTTGAACAAGCAAGCCCCCACCCCAACATCCATTAAATGGGCAATGCAGGATGTTGGTGAGGGAGTACCTTTGCATAATCTAGAATGATTGAACAATCATAGATTACCAAATGCAAGTGAATACCGTATCAAGTGAATCACTGAGGGGGTCTGGATCACTGCACTCCCCTTTATCAAACACTAGGAATAAAAAACAAAATAATGAAAATGGACTGCAGTTCCTTCTGCAGCTCCCTCCAGTGGTGCTTAAGGTGTCCATGGTGTTCTTGGCAAGCATGTTCTCACCCCATGGGCCCAATTTCAAGTTGATTAAGTCATTAACTCATTTAGAATGTCTCTTAAAGACATTTTCCCCTGACTTGTAAACAGTTGTTGTCTCAGTGCTAATGGGTGTTGAGCTACCCAGGAATAGAGATGAGTCCAGAGAGGTCACAAGTATCCAAGTAGGTTTGAAAAAAAAGACACAACACCCACAGTGAGAAAATCAGCACATGATCAGGGCTAGCTGACTACTCGTGTACCTTTTTCAGAAACTTAAATGGTTTTATATACTCTCTGAGTCTGTTTTTATGCCTTGGCTGAGACCCAGACAGAAAAGACCAGAAATTCATACACTTAGGGAAACTGAGATCACACTAAGACCACATGTTTATTTGGTAGAATGCTAGACAGTCACAAACTTCCCACAGGAATGCTGGAACCATGCCTCTGATCCAAGTTTACACTGACAAACTTTCATTTAGAATCTACTAGAATAGGAAGGAAATTTGGCCATCACTCCAGTCCCTTCATCTTATAGATGAGGAAACTAACACCCCAAAGTGTCCCTGGCTCTTAGTCCAGTGCTCTTCACAATGAGAGCTTTTTGGCTCTGACCCTAGAAATTTGGCAGTGACTCATTATGGGAACCTGGGTGAGGTCTGGTTAGTTTGGCCTCTAGGCACTCACAGAATGCCCAGACTTGTCTTGTATTTGTGAGAAGACAAAAAAAAAAAAAGAGTCTGGCACTTTTTTACATCTTCTGGGAAACCTAGAAATATTTGTGCAATACTCAGAATTTAAAGGAATGGAAGAAAGACAGCTTCTCTTCTGTGAGTGCAGAATAAATCAGAAAAAACTAAAAGAAGCAAAAATTAATAACCCCATTTCCCTCCCTCTGTGTGGCAGTCAGAGGAAGAGGGCCTGGTGGCTGGGTGTGTGCATGTTAGGAGGCTGGGAGGCCTGAGAGGCCACTCCTACATGTGAAGCTGAGAAGCTGCGTTTTCGGTCTCCCCTGGAATGTAAAGGAAGGTGGTTTATTCCCATTTCCATGTAATCTTCAATTCTCGCCACCTCATGAACAGTATTTGTAATATGATGAGAAAGTTCTGGAATATACACATGTTTTTGAAACAGCTTGGCTCTCAAAAAGCTGTCAGCCAGTACAGCACATCTTGGTCTTCAGTTTAGCGGTATGCCAACAGCTTTCCTTCTAAGCACTCACAAAGGCAACAGTCCATGATGGAGCCCATCCCATGGGTGAGGAGGAAAGAGCCTTTTCGCCCCGTCTTAAGCAGAGACAGTGCTGAGGAAATTAGTCTATCTCATTTGTCGATCCCATTTCAGTTCAGCAGCCATTTTCCACACAGAGACACAATTGGAGAGCAGTATCTTTTCTGGGAACTGAAATTCCACTTCAGGAAGAATTTCATTCTCTTTCGTTTCCATGTAACTTACTAGAGTGTCTCTCAGGCTGAAAAACCAAGGAAGAAGAGAGAGCATTTAAAACAGTCTTCTATACAATGTAAGGAGACCCAACAGCTGTCACTTTTTCAAGTCATCAACAGAACCAAAGTGCTCATTAAGACCAGAAATACTGAGGGTCATATTAAAGTCAGTCAACTACTGACTTGCTAAACTGGGACTAAAATCCTGGGTTCAAGGGTTCTAGTACATACCTGCTACTTCCCACACAGTGGTATACAAACCCTACAGAATGGAGCTGACCTTGGTAAGGGCCTAGTCAGATGATTATAAGCACTCTAGAAATATGATCTGCTATATAAAAAACAAGCCCTCATCATTCAAAAAAAGCTTATATTCCATTTCATGTTTTGTATTAACAAAGACTATAAATTCTCTAGGAAAGGGATCTTTTTTCCTTACACTGAAAGTCCAGGATAGTAAAGACTTGTTGAATAAGTTCAAAGAATATACACATATACAGGTATGTGACATATAACAAAATAGAAGAAAATAGCAAATATGAAGTGTATTGGTGAGGAAAACTGGAGTTTGACTATCTAGAAAAAGAGTAAAGTTAAATCTCTACCTTACACAACACATAAAAATAAATTGGTCAACAAAACAAACATACAATATAAACCATAAAAGCACAAGAAGAAAACATGGGAGGATATTTTATAACCTTGGGATAAGGAAGACCTTTATAGGCATATTTTCCTATAGCGGCCTCATAGGAAAATTCTGTCTTATTTGGCCTCATAAAACTAAAGACTGAGATAGACATTTGCAACATAACAGGTAAAAGATTAATATCTTTTAAGATTAAGAAAAAGATAAACAGCCCAAAAGAAAAAGAACCAAAGCATATCAAGAGGTAATTCAGAGGAATATACAAATGGCTGATAAAGAGTGTCTTCAGCCTCACTAGTAAATAGGGAAATACAAGTGAAAATGAGATGCCATTTTTTGGCCATTAGATCAGCAAAAATGCAAAAGATGGGCCATATCTAGTGCTGGTATTCTCATACACCATACTTTGGCACAGCTTTTTCTATCAAACTTAAAATGCACATCTCTTTGACATAATAAATCCACTTGTTATAATGAGAATATATGACTGTGTAGTTATTAAAAAAAAATACAGTAGAGATTAAAACCCAAAAAGCCAGTCTTCAGGTGGCCTGGTAATGGTCAAACAGCAGGAAACAGAACTCTGTGGTAAGATAACTGTTTTCCTGTCTAGGGAGGGTCACAAGAGCTATGGCAGAACCTTCTGTGTGCGCCTGGTCCAACAGGTTTGCAAATCCGTACCTCCACTCAGGGTTGAAATCCTCCTCAGTCTGGGGGTTCTTCAGTTTCAAGATCATCATTTCATGAAGCTCCAGGAGAAAGGTGTCCAGGCTGATGTGATTCAGGAAAGTGATGAGGAGCTTAGCATCCTCTGGGCTGAGATCGACTTTGTACTTTGAACTGATTTCCCCAAATGGCTCCTAAAACGAAATACGAACAAACAAAACAGGGAAGCTTGGGAAGAGAGTGCAGCTCCCTCGCTCCAGGTGGAGGGGAAGGGGCCAGACTCACTTTTTTCAGGCGCAGCAGCTGTTCGGACTTATGAGCAGAGAGGACCTGCCAGAGGGCAATGACGTGTCTTAACTGACATCTGTGTAAGTCCTGAAACAGGAAGAGAATGCCGGCATAGGAGTGAGTCTGAGTGCCGCCCATGCAGGCCCTGATTTCACTCCTACCCTTACTTTCCCATTTCCCTCATTATGAAGGTCGTCTCTGTTCCATCCACTAATTCACCTGCCTCATCTTTAAAATGTCTCTGAGGGCCGGCCCCGTGGCTTAGCGGTTAAGTGCGGGCGCTCCGCTGCTGGCGGCCTGGGTTCGGATCCCGGGCACGCACCGACGCACCGCTTCTCCGGCCATGCTGAGGCTGTGTCCCACATACAGCAACTAGGAAGATGTGCAGCTATGACATACAACTATCTACTGGGGCTTTGGGGGAAAAAAATAAATAAATAAAAATTATAAAAAAAAAAAAAAAAAGTCTCTGAAATCCTCTCCCTCCTGCAGCACCTCAGAGTCCATTAACATCATGCAGCCAGCAGCTGGCTGATGTCCTCAGTCATGTCTGTGGCCCTCTGTCCAGATTCTTAGGTTCTGAATGCATCTCTGTCTTTACCGCCAGAGTGTGTTCTGTTTACACTGAGGACTGGCTGGGTGAGGGGCTGTTCTTGACTCCGCCTCCTTTCCAGGGGCTGCCTAGATGGGTACGCCCTGAATGGCGGTATTCCTAGTAGGAAGTGGGGAGATGAAGGTATGGAGCAATGCTGATTTCCTCTGAAATCTAACACAAGACCCACCTTTAAAACCAGCGTTATCTGATCACTCATTCGCAGCATGTCTTGTATATACACATTCAAGGGCATGTTCGGATCCCCACCAGCCGTGCTCAGAAACCCCAAAGTGACTTCTATGACAGACAGAGCTTCACAGGCATCACTGTAGGACTGCAGCTGTCCACTGATGGCGCTGATGACCGCGTTGGGGAGGGGGTTCTAGGAAATCAAAGGCAGGACAGGGGTCCATGGGTGGGGTTTCCTGTGCATTGCTACCTGGTAAGAGCACTTACCTTCTTCACTGCCGAGGCCACAAGATGGGACAAACTCTCTGATAACAACTGTTAACATGCAGTGCTTCCTAAGTGTCAGCAATAGTCCAGACACTTTATGGAAATAGGTATGACCTCACTGAGTCCTCAGAGCAACTTTGTAAGGCTATGCATATGGATGCACGCACACACGCGCGCATACACACACACACGCGCACAAATCAAAAGAGCAGGAATAAATAAGTTCTCTGGACCTTTCACATCAGGATACACGGTCATGACATGATTGCTAAGAAACTAACACCACAAGATTTCAATCTGTTTATACTCAACAAGAAAACTTTTGCTGATTTCATGTCCCGCTTGCCCTTTGGAAAGAGCATTGGGATCAGGGAATTTAGGGAGGCCACTGAAACTCTTTGGTCCTGATAGCAAACGCCTGGAGTGAGAGTGGAACAGCCCTAATGTGAACGAAAGCACTCTGATGAGACAAAGCACCGTGCAAATGATAAGGTTTATCATGATCACCTGTGGCATTTTGTTCTTGATGCCCATAAAGAGATGTTCGTAGTTCCAGTCACGTCTGTATACCAAAGTGGGTATTCCCTAAATTGAAAAGAAAAAAAGTCTTTGGAAATTGAATCCATTGTGGAAGTTTCCATCAGATGACAAGTATACTCTTGAGCAGTAACTCAACTGTAGCACCGTGATGTTCAGTGCATCACCGGGCAAAGTGTGCAGCTCTCTGTTGCCATGTCATGTCTGTGGTGAAACACAGTCTGTGGAAACAGTAACACAACAAGGAAGCCAGCCTAGCCTGGGTGGCCAGGCGGATTCTGTGATGAAGGATACTGCAGGCTTGTGGACCGCCAGGGAAACAGGTATGTGAGGACCAACCATTTGTGCATTCACTCAACTACTACTGAGCACAGACTATGAAGAAAGCGGTCACGCTGCTAGACAACAGGGATAGCAGCTGAATTAAAAACAGCCTTGGGCTCAAACAGTTTACAGCACAACTGTGGGCAGTGAGGGAGAATAAATATACCGAAGTACAATATCTTTGACGGCACCTGGAAGGAACAAGTGCAGCCCGGATAAAAGAACAGATGGGAGAGTGCATGATGTGTTCAGGGAAGGAGAGTGATCCAGTGGCTGAGGTAATAGGACTCACTGCAGTAAGCGAGGTAAGTGGCTGGAGATAGGGCTGGGGCAAGGCCACAGGGCCGTTCATGCCAGACAAAGGAGTGTAGGCTTTATCCCCTGTGCAGTGGGATGCTCGTCCAGGCTGTCCAACAGCGAGTGATGGGATCAGATCTGATTTCAGAACTATAGACTGAATAAACTGGAGGCAGGGACCAGTTGGGAGCTAGTGCAGTTGTGGAACTTAAGGACAGATGCTGTGAACTAAAGCAGTGGGCTGTGGTAGTTAAACGGGGGACAACTGATGGTACCAGATGACAGCTTGTATGTGGAGACTAAAGGAGAACGGGGAAAGGATGACTCTGAGGGTTTGTTGGGTGGCTGGTGGTGCTGTAGAGAAATCGGGACAATGAGTCCATTAAGACTTGAAGATAGCCCTGGGGTGCTGAGGTGCGGAGGCTGATGCAGAAGACAGCTCGAGAGGGCATCCGCCCAGAGATGCGGATGCGAGCGGTGGTCCCAGACACTGGGGGTGTGGATGACACGGTCCAGACCTCCTTGCTCCGAAACCACTGTGATCAAAACCACAGCCAGGGCAACTTTTGCAAAACAGACATGCTAACCAAATAAACACCAGCAGGGTCAGCCTTACCTTGAGGGTCAGCCTGGGTTTGCCCTGGAGGAACCGGCTGGTGATCTGGCGCTGGATCTTCTCCAGGTCAAACTCCTGCAAGGTCTCTCCACCCTGCTCCACTTGATACTGGCAGTTGGAGAGAATCAGTGGAGTCAGGTCCCGCTCCACTTCGTAACTGATGACATGTAGGTCAGTCACCTCAGAGGCATCAACGGAATAGCTGAGGGACATAAAGACACAGCACTCAGTGTCTGGTCTAGTGCTCATGGCCTGGGTTATATGGAGCCAGTTCCCATTTGATGTCCCTGGATACCCACGAACGTGGCCGAAGGAGAGTCTATTAGAGAAGGAGCTGGAATCTGGCTTGCATCTCTCCCTTGGGGGCCTGGGACCCTGCTTGTATCACCGCAGAAGTGACTACCTGGGTGGAAAAGACACCACCTCCTGCAGGCTCGTGCACTCACCTGTTGTTTTCCTTGGAGAACTTCTCCACCGTGTAGACCATTTCATTGTGCAGGTTAAACAGGTAGCTGACTAAGGCGGTGGAACAGAGGCCCAGGCCCCGGCGACGCGGCAGAATGACCTCGAAGTCAGTGTCGAGATCTAAGTCGGTGCTGCAGTAGGCTTCAGGTAGCTTGATTTCACCTTTAAACAACAGGGTTCTTCTTAAGCAGAGAGGCATTCATCTCTATGCTGTTTCTTTCACAAGATCAAGGCCAGGGAGCCCACCACAGTGGGGAGGAGGAGCAGAAGTTAGCTCAGCCAGAGCTGGGAACCAGGAATGCCCTTAAGACCCTGCCTCCCATCTCTCTTATATGCTGACAAGTTTCAAATGTACTCAACTCCTTTTTTTTTTAATGCTGAGGAAGATTAGCTCTGAGCTAACATCTGTTGCCAATCTTCCTCGTTTTTGTTTTTTTTTTATAATTTTATTTATTTATTTATTTTTCCCCAAAGCCCCAGTAGATAGTGGTATGTCATAGTTGCACATCCTTCTAGTTGCTGTATGTGGGACGCGGCCTCAGCATGGCCGGAGAAGCGGTGCGTCGGTGCGTGCCTGGGATCTGAACCCGGGCTGCCAGCAGTGGAGCGCGAGCACTTAACCGCTAAGCCAAGGGGCCGGCCCCGTTTTTTTTTTTTTTTTTTGCTTGAGGAAAACTGAGCTAACATCTGTGCCAATCTTCCTCTACTTTTTATATGTGGGTCGCCACCACAGCATGGCTGACGAATGGTGTAGGTCTGTGCCCGAGATCTGAACCCGCAAACCTGGCCACTGAAGTGGAATGTGCCAAACTTAACCACTATGGCATGGGGCCGGCCCCTCAACTCCTTTTTTATTCCACTTTATAGATTCAAGAAGACTGAGGGTTTATTTTTCCTAATATGTATTTCACTTATCCCAGACACCTCCACCAAAAGATTCTTAGATTCAGCATTCAGTGCACATAGCATGGTGTATGCAACAGCACGGGCAGGTGGCTAGGCTGAAGAGAAGCAGCTTTCAGATCGGGGAATGTGACACTCACCATTGGTGTCAAGTGACCTCCTGAGTTTATTCCATGTCGACAAAAAGACAGTGATTCTGTTGTGGAATAACTGCTTCAACCCACCTGTCAGACAGAAAACTTTTCAAGAACCCCATGATAACTCCTCCTGGTCTAGGTCAGACTGACACAGTCACATGCTCTTTGGAAAGAACCCAACTTGGCACCTTCATGTATTCACCAACGCGTTCTAACTACTGTTTTAGCACTAAAGCCGAGTTTGAGGATCTAGAGAGAGGGAGGCACCATCAGCTGCAGCAAAGCCTCTAATGTGTTTTTGGGATTCATGGCACCCCTGGCTTCATGCTAAAAGCTTAGGGTATAGGGCACCCAAGCCCTGACGGGCCCCACCCGCCAGCTGGAGTAATCATTTTTTGTGTGTGTGTGAGGAAGATTAGCCCTGAGTTAACATGTGGTGCCAATCCTCCTCTTTTTGCTGGGGAAGATTGGCCCTGAGCTAACATCTGTGCCTGTCTTCCTCCGTTTTGTATGTGGGACGCCACCACAGCATGGCTTGATGAGTGGTGCGTAGGTCCTCACCCAGGATCCAAACCTGTGAACCCCCAGCCGCTGAAGCCCAGCATGTGAACTTAACCACTACACCACAGGGCCGGCCCTGGAGTGACCATTTTGAAGAACCAGACACGGACAGTCCTGATCTCTGATTAGAGCAGAGTCATACCTGAACTGTGACTGCTAATAAAACCTCGGATGGAGCTGTATTCAACTTCCGAAACATTCTGGAATCGTTTCACTAGATCCCTTTGCAGGGCCAAAATCTCAGGCAAGAATTTCACCAGTCTCAGTTCCGCCTCCTGGAGAAGGGAAGACCACCCAGAGACACTCTTTAATTTACCTAGAAAATGGTACTGGGGAAACAGACTTTGGGGCTGGCTCAGGATGTGCATTCGTAGTTTAATCTAGTCAATGTGCCATTTTATACAATGACATATCATGGTACTTGAAAGTGGGGAAAAGGTCAGACCATCCTTTTAGCAAGTGCCTATCGACTGCTTGCAGTATGTTTAGCCACCATTCTACACCCTAGAGATGGAGGAGTGAACTAGACAAAGTCCCCGCCCCTGTGGGGCTGACACAGCAAGTGTCTGCCAAAAGCCGATGAGGGAAATCAGCCTCTTGGGCCCGTGTGACAGGCTGGGCGTGGAGAGAAGCTGCCGAGAGCAGAAGGACCAAGAGGACAGGCAATGAAGTTTGGCATTATCCTGGGTGTCGTTCTGAAGACCTAGGACCTAGTAAGTATCTTCACAAGAAGGAACTATGCACCTTAGCGAGAGATCACAGTATCACTGTGAAGTCCTTCCTACTGTGAATTTATTTCCTTTAACTGACCAACAGAAGTTTCTGAATCATCTTACTTCTTGCTAGACTACAAATACTGGTCCATAGAGGGAAATGATTAGAAAATCTATTGTAGAAAATAAAAGTTCAAATGGATTAAAGTTAGACACAGTGTGAGTTTCTGGTTCTAACCGATATGACCGATACTCTTGACTGTTCCCGACCCTCCACTGCCACCACCACTGCCGCTCACGCACTCACCTTTCTTCCGTCTAAGCCCGAATGGTTCAGGAACAGGGAAGATTTGTTTGTTTGTTTGTTTGATTTCGTTATACATTCTTGGCTAAAGCTTTTTCATTCAACAGACACTCATTGATGACTAAGTGCTCTAGGCACCGGGGGGATGAAGATGAACAGACACGGCCAGGGAAAATTTTTATTCTATTCTTTCCTGTTGAGTGATTGGGGAGATCCTCTCCAGGGTCCTCAAGTTCCTACAGATTCCTGCTAATTCCAGCTCGTGTATATATTTCATCTGTGACTTTATCCCTCAAACTACCCGCACAGTTTGATGTGTATGAAGATCTCTATTCTCTCCCTGAGTCTTCTGCTACAGATATTCTATTCAAAAATCAAAGCACTGAAGTAGTCTGTTAGATGTCCCATCTGTAGGAACGATCAGACCCAATCATAAGCGGGGGCCTCAGGTCTGCAGGGCACATCCTGCCAGGTGGTCATGGTGAGGCAGCCTTACCTTCTGGAGAAACTTCCAGAGGATGGGCACTGTTTCTTTGCCATTTTTCTGCTCCACGATGTGCTGGAGGTACTCAACGGTGATTCTTTTCCTGCAGCTCCACATCCTGGAGCAGTGAACCACGCTATTCTGGGGCAGGTGGGGCAGGAAGGCCACTGGGTCACTGAAGACGATTTTGGCCACAGGGTTGGAGCTGATCCGCTCATCTTGGCTGATGAGTGTATTCACTGTCAGGAGGGTTTTATCTAGATGCTAGGGGAAGAAAACGATACAGGATTCTGCAGGTACGGTAACTGCAAACAGACGGGGACACCTAGAGACTTTACCAGTGGGCAAATTAGGGAGCCTGCCCTCCTCATTTTAGCATGTTTCTTAACTTTGATCATAATTTACATGTTTCTTGTTCGTAGGTTTATGTCTCCCCAAATAGAATGAGACTCAGAGACCTCTGTTTCATTCCTATTCTCTTACTTACTGACTTTTATTTCCTGATGGGCTCAGTTACTCTCAGAAACACTCTCATCTGACAGAGGAGAGTTAACGTATGATTATTAATACATTTTGGGTGGCCATCTACGTGACAGTCTATTTCTCTGTCTCTTGCTCTCACAATCTGCTGTAAGAAATAATGAAGACTACTGCCTGCACCCTCTGGAATCCCCGTCGCTCCTCAGCCAGACTCTCCGACCGGCCTCAGGACAGCAGGAGGGTGGGGTGACCCGGATAGAGAACACCCAAGTCTGAGGCTTAGCCAAAGGCTTCGACAGCACTTCCATAAGAGACAGGCCAGAGCGCTGAGGAGAAACACCCTCCTGCTCTCTCCCAGACGAAGTAACCAGGTCACTGTTGTCACCCATCACTTACCTCTAGTGCAGGTAAAATAAGAGTCTCAGCAAGCTTTTCCCAGTTGTTTCTCTTTTCTTTGGTTGACAATACTGCATCAAAATTTAAAGGCCCTACAAACAAAAATGTCTGGGTCACCCAAGGAACAAAACCACAGCAGTCTACAGACAGTAAACAAATGTTCAACCGAAATAATGCTCTGTGGGCGGGGGGTGTATCCTCCTGAATTAACCTGAGTATTTTAAAATGGTTCCCGCTGCTACCACCAACCCCTTAATCTTTGTGAAGATACTTCAGTCTCTAAAAACTCTAAAAACCCACCAAGTGTCATCCTAAAACCATTCTGAACAAAATTGCTGAAAGGAGAGTCCTTTGAATCAGAAGCCCAGGGGCAAAATAATGGTGGCTGGTGCCACCATCAGCCATATCAGCTGCTGCCGCCCAGGCTCACACACGGAGCAGGACCCTGCATATGCTTCTGCGGTGCAGAGTGCTGTGGGAACGGCTGGCATGCTTCTAGAATTCAGTCATTCTGTCAGTATGATCCTGAATGAGCTCACCTAGTTTGAAATCACACTAGAACGAGAGGCTTAAAACAAAATCAAATTTTGCTAAACGGGAAATATATACTGATGCTGATTTCCGGTAAAGTAGCAATTAAGTGGAAATGGATTTTCTGGTCCTGTGGCAGGACTTTTAATTGCTAATAAAATAACTTAATTATTATTATTTTATAATAATAATTATATTTAATAATTTTATTATTTTAAATAACGTTATCATTACAATGGTGATTTTAAAATAATTTTGCAGATAAACAAAAAGAAAATAAAATCACTCTTAATTCCACCACTCAGAGATCACTATTCTACTAAGTCGTCTTACAGACCTTTTCTTTCTGTATGGATTCAATTTCTTTTTTTTTTTTTTTGTGAGGAGACGAGCGCTATGCTAACATCTGCCAATCCTCCTCTTTTTCTGCTGAGGAAGACTGGCCCTGGGCTAACATCTGTGCCCATCTTCCTCCACTTTACATGGGACGCCACCACAGCACGGCTTGCCAAGCAGTGAGTTGGTGCGCGCCCGGGATCCAAATCGGCGAACCCTGGGCCACCGCAGCGGAGTGCGTACACCCAACCACTTGCACCACTGGGCCGGCCCCTGGATTCAAATTTTTAAAACAGGAAAATTAGTTCAGTGAACATGGACATGTAACCATAGTGTCAGCCTATGACTGCGATATTTTTAGGGAAAGCAGAAGCTACCCCCTAAAACAGGACAGGTGTACAAAGAGAACAAGTTCCAAGCAATTACCAGACATCAGTCCCTCTGATGGTGAGGACTCACTGACACACAAGCGCCTGTTTCAGACAATCTATGTCCCCAGTACAGGGAGTGAATTACCTACAAGGCTGACTTGGAAACTGCCAAGCCTCCCCACATACACCTGCATTTCACACCTCTGTGCAGACGACCCTGAGTACTGTAGGTCGTGACCCAGCAGGGGAACATCTGCCAGCAAGCACACTTTTTCTTGTTCCTCCACTTGCGGCGTGGCGTCACCTTCCACACGCCATCCTTTTATCTCCCTCTGGAGCTGTGAGGAGTAAGCCTGCTTTCTTTGCAACTGTGCTCCATGACCCGTGCTGGGACCCCCTCGCCCCCCCCTTTCCTTACTCTGGCCGGAGAGGGGGCGCTGCTCCTTGAGAAGGCTGCACAGGACCAGGTGCACCACGGTGACCGTCTCATCGGCGCTCTTCCCCAGCGTCTTGATTAACTGCTCCAAGTCTCTCTCGATATGCTGCTGCAGAAATCCTCTTGGATCCCTCACTGCAGGCTTAATGATGTTTATCAGAGCCTGTGGGGACAATGAGACAAATGTCAAGCAAGATCTTGTTTGTAGAGGAGATAGTGAGTTCAGTGGAGGCCAGGAGTGAAAAGCCAGCACCGTGTCAGAAGACGGTCTCTAACATGAGTGATGGAAGTGCGATTCAAACAGCAGAGGCCAAGGAAGAGGATAGAACTGACGGCCCTTGACGTCGTCAGAGCGAAATAAAGAATTGTGAAAGCCAGAACTTCTTGCTACCATGGTTAATTAGCTTAGAGGAAATGCAGTGTGCTCTTTCTTTCTTCCCTAGAGCTACAGTGAAGACACAGGTAAAATCAAGATCATATTAGCTCTCTGCTCCCAGGTGCGGACTGAAGACAGAGTTGTTTATTTAAAATGGATTTTATATAGTCTGACGAGTATTTCCCCCATACCATCATATGCCATAGCAGGAAAAATTAGGAGTTGTAAACTTCCCATTACTTTGTGGATTAGGTAACAATGACATACTCAAAATCCACAGGAGATGGCCGAGACTTTTTAGACAAAAGGACTTGCTGTGAAAACACTAGAGCAGGTCATTACTCTAGCGACAAAATCCACAGTTTGGCAGCACCACGCTCTACCTGGGGGCTCTGGGCAGCTCCCAAAAGCATAGCCAGATGAGTGAGTAATCGGATGAGAAGGAAGACCACTGGAGACAGCTCTCGGTCAGATACCACCGTCTCGCTTCTGGGTGGCGGGTTCCCCAGCACGTGGCCAGTTTGAGTTCTGTCTATGCCGTTTCTGGAAAGGACAAGAGAAGACCAGGTGAAGCTGAAGCTGATCATTTCTTCTCAGCTCTAGGGGCACACTTCAGACTCTCAGGACCTGGAGACTAATTCTGAAGAAAACAATGTCAAAGTATTTCTTATTCTACTAAGCCCAGATCGCTTTCCTGAGAGTCTTTTTCTTTATAGATTCACCTTTCTGGCTGACCAAAAGCCCACAGCATTCTCAGTGTGAAGTGGCTGAATTAAGTGGCTGTGCCTTCCTTGGGCCGGTGTCAGGATGGGGAGGTCTGGACCTGCTTCTTCCACTGATATCATTGTGGGCAGAGGAGCAGGCAGGCAGAGGACGGAGTTTGGGAGAGCTGACATTGACATGGGGATGTGTGCACACTGTTCTCATTCTCCCGAATCAGAAACTGGGACCCAAGGTCCAGCCAACGATCCACCTCACACCCAGACGGGAGGTGTGGAAGGATGGGTGTGCTCAGTTGCAAAAATACTGGAGATTTTAGGACATTCTGACAGTTTGTGGAGACAAGAGGTTAGAATATTTTAAATTGTGACTGCACAAGAATAGAATGTATGATGACCAGAGAGAGGTCCTAGCTCCCATCTGAAGGGAACACTGACAACCATGCTTGTCTCATGAGCAAGAGTGGGAATATGAGCTCAGAGTTTTATCTGGATTCTGAAATATTTGATAAGATTGACTATGTCTCCTTCACTTTTGTCAAAAAAAGAGGAAGCTAAGAAAGTTTAAAAGTGAGATGGCATCTACTCAGACAAATGCATAGTTTCTGGTTTTGTAGACTTAAATGTCCCTCAGAATTAGGTCACCTGTTTATGTTGAGCATATTCTACAGGGAGCGTGCCCAAGACCCAAAAGGAAGACATTTGAATTAATAAGAATTCATAATAATAAGTATTAATGTGTAGTTTGCTTTGTATTTAAAGCCCAGTTAGCCAATGACAGATCAAACCCCTCACTGTTGTATGACTACAGGGACCTTGGCATTGATATCCGACAGGATGCAGGTCCAAATGTACTACAGTAATTGATACTACATTTAGTATCAATCTATCAGCTGGAATAGAAATAGCCCCAAAGCCCACGGTCTGACTGCTTAACCAAAGCCCACGGTCTGACTGCTTAAAAAGGAAATCCAATCTTACATACTGGATCACTTTGAATCCTTGCTTTGGCTGATGATTAATCCCTCCAATTAGAGCACCACAGTCAACACAAGAGCTCTGTTCCATTGGCATGCCACACTAGGATAAAGACAAATGGGACCCGAGCTCAGTTTCCGAGCCAGTATCATTTTATGCACAAATGCCATCCTGCACACGAAAACCTCCTCACCACGGGCGGCAGTGGAGGCCACTAGGCTTGCTTACTCTAGTGTACGCGTACCGCAGGCGGGACTGCAGGAGCCGTGGGAGACAGGTCAGATGCTCCACGCATATTATGTTGGACAGGGGCAAAGTTGGACTTTTTTTTAAACAGGAGAGACAATATTAGTTTTATTCCCAAGTAGACACTTTATAGACAAAGATATAAAACTCAACCCTCCTTTCACATATTCGTCAGTGCATTCAATCCCCCATCTCTCACACTCGCCTCTGTGCTAGACTCGGGCGTGAGCCTCCAACACCAGGAATACTACAGTAGCTTCCAAACTGATTGCCTTCACTCCACGTGGACTTTATTTAAAAAAATGTAACCATATGATCTGCTACTTCCAAAGGCTCACAGACTGTTACAGACCAAACCAACCTCAGATTCCCAGACCACAAAATTTTAGAGCTGGGAGCACTATCTTGGGAAGAATCTATTTCAGTCTCATTTCAGGGAAGAGGAAGTGAGTGAAGCTCAGAAAGATGAAGAGTATATATCAGTTTTTTCCTCCACGTCTGTTTCTTACTTTATTAAATAACATTTGTCAGTTCAATTCAACAGCCTGTTGCTGAGCAAGTACAGATCACACTATGAAGGGCCCTGGCTAGATGCTTCGGGATTCAGAGGTGGATAATACATAGTTCCTTCCCCCAAGGGCTTATAAGCTATGAGTCTCTTTTCCCTGTCCTTTGGTATCTAGACCACATCTCCTCTCTGGGCTAGTAATCCCGCCTACGATCTAGTCAACACTTTGCCATCATAGAAAGACACGTGTCATGGATCCCATGCTGCAGTGGCTAGGAAGGATGGCTAGCAGTGGTTCCTAACCAGCAGAAGTTTTATCACCCAGGGGACCTTTGGCAATGTCTGGAGACATTTTTGGCTGTTACACTGGGGGAGATGGGGTGCTACTGGCATGTGGCAAGTTGAGGCCAGGAGTGCTGCTAAACATACCAAAATGCCCACAACAGCCCTACAATAAAGCGTTATGTCCACAGTGCTGAGGTTGGGAAACTCTGGCTGGAAATCCTTATCACCATTTAGATGTTTAGTTGGACACCTAGAACAGCCCTCAAAATGAGTCTGTGTTCTCCTAGATGTCAAGACCCTCATCATCCTCATCCTCCACGTCCCCCTCTCCTCAGACCCAGAGGAACACATGTTCTGAACCCCTCAAATCCTACCCCAAATACCAAGACTCACCTCTCCTACAGAGCATGGGTGACCGTTGGGACATGCTGTTAAAAGAATAGAACACACGTTGGCTGGTGAGGTTTCTCTTAATGACCCGCAGTGAAAAGGGAAAGCTAACTGTCTCCTCTCTGGCCTGATCAAAATACGATGTAGAGTGAACACCCCCAGCACGCCATCAGAGAGCCTGAACTACTTTGTTAGTTTAGTTATTAGTTATTTGACACATACCAGGAACTCAGCAAATATATGTTGTTAGTGAAAAAAGTCTCTGAGTTTAATTCTACAAAGCAAAGAGAAACTGGATTACAGGCTCACACCAGGGATTACTTTTGGAGGCAGGGCGGATAGTATTTTATACCTTTCTATTTTCTTGGTTGTTATTTTTTTTGCCATGAGTACGTTTTATAACAACTTTTAACACTAGTTTAAAAAGATTACTTAGGGAGCTGGCCCAGTGGCGCAAGTGGTTAAGTGCGTGCACTCTGCTTTGGCGGCCCGACGTTCGCGCGTTTAGATCCTGGGCGCGCACTGAGGCACCGCTTGTCAAGCCATGCTGTGGTGGCGTCCCATATAAAGTAGAGGAAGATGGGCACAGTCAGTAGCTCAGGGCCAATCTTCCTTGGCAAAAAAGAGGAAGATCAGCATTGGATGTTAGCTCAGGGCTGATCTCCCTCACACACACACACAAAAAATTATTTATTCAAGTTATGGGTTATATTACAAAAAGAACTAGCTTTGGGTCAAAGACTTGGTTGGATTGTGAGCTGGCCCTTGACTGAGCCTCTGATGTGGCTCCCACTCCCCGCTTCTCCCAGTGGCCTATTCCAGGGAAGAGAGGTGCATCCTAATGGGTCCTTCCCCATGACCAAGAACAGAAATGATCTGCATCATCTACAGTCAGCAAAGCGCCAGCTCCTTCAAGCCATTTGTGTTCTGCAAAGGCACCAACAGCAGAAGGAGGCAGGCACTTTGCGACCTTCAGGTACAAGCCATGTGGACCCCAATTCTAAACCAATGCCTCCTGTGGCTTTAGGATGCTCTTCAAAGCCCAGAGGGGTGTGACTCCATCTCAGACACCAACACTTACTGTACCAGCGGACTCCTTCCAGACCCTCCCAAGTCCTAGCTTGAGCCAGCAAGTCTTCGGGCATCGTTGGAAGAAAAGCATTCTGAAAAACCAAAAAAGCAGAGCTCGCTTTAGGTCAGTGAGCATATGGGTTGGCTGCTGCTGTTCAGCAAGAGTCCTAGCAGAAGAAAGTGAACTTGATTTTCCTTCTTCTTGACCTCAAAAGCTCTCTATGAAGGAAATATAACAGCTGTGTAATAACAAAGAGTAGGGCAAGCTTTTACCATCACTGAGAACTAAAGGATCAAGTGAGACAAAGGCAGACAGAAGATCTAGAAGATCAACAGGTTCAGCAGTTTCCAAGGTAGAGGCTCGGGCTCTTCAGTGGCAAACCGTGCAAGCGTTCACTGTGAAAGCTGAGGTAGTCTCACCCCAGGCTTACCGCCATGTTGGCTGGGGAGAAGGCCAAATTCTTTAGGGGTTCCAAGACTTTGTTTTGTCCACAGAGAAGGATGGTTGCAGCATGAATAGCCATTTCTGTCACTGTCCCTTCAAGGCTGCTGACTCTGGGACCCGTCCTCAGCAGTGGGAGAGTATTGGTCACAAGGGATGTTGCAAAACGCCTGACCTCAGGAGGAGAGAGGAGCTTGCTTTCCTCGATGAACTGGTTCACAGCCTCACATTGCTGACAGGAGAAAATGCTTTTAATATTGAAATATACCAAAGAAGACTGTTATGTGAATCCAAACATTTGTTCGTAAGTTATTTATTCATTTTGATACCAAATACGTATCAATATCAAGGTAAATATGGTTACATTATCACCATTTGAGGGGAAATTATCCAGAAGAGAATTCTCATCTATAAACACAGCAACTACATTCCCAAGCACTCATTTTGATATATTATTTTGGTAAACATTATCTTTTATTCTTGACTTTAGTTTTAACTGTACTTCTAAAAGGCATGGGTGAAACAGAAAAGTAATGCTTCCACATGAGAAGGTTGAAAACCCTCATCCTAGATAAAAAATTATGGGCATAATTCACATTTGTAAATTTTAGTTCTATTCAAAAAACTCCCTCCAAATAAAAAGACTATGAACACAAGGCCTGAATGTTGATCCTCACCTCTGGCTTAAGATGGAGGTTTGCATTGCAGGATCTGTACAAAACAGTGACCTCTCTGAAAAGGGCTAAGAGTAAGTGGACTGCCTGTTGAGATTTGGAGTTCCTGCAGGCCTGAAAAAGCAAGGATTTCAAGTGAGACTTAGAAAACTTATGCAGATCTATCTGAGGGCCAGAGTCCTGAGGGATTCCTAGGTGAACATGGAATGTGGATCAGCCCTGCAGCCACGGGAAGGGTGAGGGAGCATTTGCCAAGACCCAGGATGCCTGGGACACTGTACCTCCAGGACCGGCTTCTGGCAATCAACTCTGAGACTACAGAGCTCATAAAATATTCTTATATTAAACTCAGTGAATATTTATCAGATAGCTTATGACAGAAGTCACAAAATCACCACCTGTTCTCTTTCTAACTACTTCACTGGTCCTAGAAACTTCCTGAGCAGAGATAGGACGTTCTAGTTCCTCTTTTCCTGGCACAATGCCAGGGTAAACAGACTGAAAAATGAAACAAGACTAGAACACTTGAAAGATTAGATTCTAAAAACCCTGCATCTTTCGTAAAATACACACACGTCAGCACACAGAGGAATTATGAATATACACAGATATGAATTTTGCTAGTTGTGCCAGTTCATCTTGTTATCAGAGTAATCTCGGAAAAAGTGATTTTTCAGTGAGGTCTCAAAGGGAGTGATGGATATAAACATATCAAAAAAGAGCCTCTCATGGCCTTGGCAGGTCAGCAAGACTGAGCAAATCTATCATCCCAACTCCACTGCTATTCTCCTGTTTTGGCCAGGCATGCCAGTGGTGGCCAGTGCAGTGTGTCACTCTACGGGGCCTCTTCCACTGCATCATTTGACATAAAAAAGGAAAGACGCAGGCTCTGAGGGGTGCCATTTCGTCCAGAGAGGAGCCTTGAGCCCATCCTACCTTCAGAGCAGTCACAAGAGCCAGGGGCTTGCACTCGAGGATGGTTTTGCCCATGGCATCGCGAAGAGCCTTATATTCAGCACCATGCACCAGGTATCGATCCATCTGGCCTGGATGGTCCTTCTGCAACCCCAGGAATTCAGGGTTAATCACAGTGGGGATAGTGGGGAGAATGTTTCTTAGCAAAGAACCGTTCCGATAGGTAAAGGAACCAGGCAGTCATTAGAGGTTTAAAGACGGCTGAACGGGGATGCCCTGGTCTAGCCCAAGACGACAGTCTGGTGCTGTGTCTGGGAAGCACATCTTCCTCTCAAGATGAAGAGGGGTGAGCAGATGAAAATCCTGGGCAGGAGGAGGCAGTGCTAACCTCGTAGCTGCTTTCTTTCTCCACTCAAAGCACAGCCACAGCCAGGTGACTTCAACTATGTCAACCAAGCCCCAGATGGTAGTAAAAAAAAAAAGCCAGGATTTTTAGTGCCATTTTTGCAACCCCCAGACAGTAAGAATTTCCTCACTTCTGAGCACTAGGAAAGGACCACTGAGAGGCCCTGAAGCCAGAATTACTGCAATTCTTTTATCCTTAGTTCTCGTTCTTTCCCGTCTCTGCCTGCCGAGGATAAAAAGGACTTATTCTGCAAGCTGAATTACTTTTAATTTGCTGAAAGCAAAAGAAAGACACAGAAATGTGCTTTCCCTGTGTCAAACTTGATCAGAAGTGATGCCTAAATAAGCTCTGTAGGTAGATGACAAGCCAGAAACACACACACACACACACACACACACACACACATTTTTTCCCTCTGGCAGGCTGTGTCAACGTTATCACAGGCTGGGTCAAATTAACTGAAGCACGGAGACGGAGGAGCAGACCAGACACATGCATTTTCCTCAGTGGACATGGGAGAAGGTCAGGGTGGGAGGGTCAGAGGAGCAGCAGCACCCACTCCTGGGTGTAGGTGTGGTGCAGGAAGAGGGGTGACAGCACCTTAGGGCTGCCAGGGACCGTGCTTCTCACCTGCTGTGCAATGACTTCCTTGGGAAACACCCACTGGGCCGGATGGCCCTGTTTGGAGAGGTTCTGCACAAACTCCATCCCTTGCTGGCTGGTGAGCTTCCTCACCAGGTACACTCGGTACCAGTCATTCTTTACCTGGGTACAGAAGTGCTCAACCTGCCGCAGGTAGCATCGCTTCTCCTCAGCCATCTCTGCAAGTTCAATGAGAAAGGGGTGAGTGACTGGTGGCTGAGAGTATTCGTCTAGGAGGCAAAGCTAGTTAAAAAGCATGAGGCCTGCTCTTTAGGAATTCACATAAAAGAGATAATCTAAAAGAAAGGGGACATGGTATAGACCAGTATTATTCTGAGAACTAGTTTCCCCTATCTCTGAGTTTCTAAATAATGGGGTCTCTTAGCTTGGGGTAAAGAAAGGTACTGAAGAAGACATGCCTGAGCCTTCCCGAAGCTCAGAGAGGAAGTCAGAAGCCCTGTCAAGACAGAGGCGGATCCTGGCCATCTCCTGCAGGTATTCAACTGACGCCTCCTTAGCAGGTTTTCTGCTGCGTCTCCCTGACAAATAAGTCTCGAGGAAATGACCTTCTTCTCTTAGGTATTTCAATTCATCACTTATGGAGGAAGCACTCTTCCTCTCATGTATTGAATCCTAGGGAACAAAGAACCAAAAGAAAAAGATTATTCTTTTAATATGCAAGTCCCCAACTTTCCAAAATTTCCATAGTGTGACTATGGAGAATAAAAGAAGGATAGAGAATAATGTTGTAGGTTTCAGTGTCAATTTCCCCCCTCCTCCCAGAGGAAGATTTGCCCTGAGTTAACATCCGTGCCAATCTTCCTCTATTTTTCAGTATGAGGGCCCCCAGCAGAGCATGGCTGCTCACTGAGCAGTGTAGGTCTGCGCCTGGGAACCGAACCTGGGCCACTGAAGTTGAGCGTGCTGAACTTAACCACTAGGCCACTGGGGCTGGACCCTCAGTGTAAATTTTTTGAATCACAGAAAACTAACATCTCTTTTTATTTTAGGGGCAGGAAGGAGGAAAAAAAGAAAACCTATGAGGAAAAAATTTTGTATAATCTTATTTTTTCATGGGCATTGTAAAATTTTTGGAAGTAACAAAAATATGAAGCGAATAAAAATTAAAAGTATTCGCACCTTATCACCACCTGGAGATAAGCATGGTGAACTTTGGTGGTATACTCTTCTAGGCTGTTTTTTGTTTTGTTTTGTTTTTTTTGTGAGGAAGAGCAGCCCTGAGCTAACGTCCATGCCAATCCTCCTCCTTTTGCTGAGGGAGACTGGCCCTGGGCTAACATCCGTGCCCATCTTCCTCCACTTTACATGGGACGCCACCACAGCATGGCCTGACAAGTGGTGTGTCGGTGTGCAGCCGGGATCTGAACCCGGGCCGCCAGTAGTGGAGCACATGCACTTAAGCACACGCACTTAACCGCTACGCTACAGGGCCGGCCCCTCTTCTAGGCTGTTTTTTTCCTCATTCACAGGCACATAAATGTCAATATATACAGCTGCTGAGGACAGAAGCAATGCTTCTGAAACCTTTTTTTCCCCACACGGAACAGAGCATCTGTTAATTTTACCGACTAAAATTATAGTAAATTCCTGTAAATTTTCAGGAACACTTTTCCATTGCATAAACCATGTGGTTCAGATAGCTTGCAAAAGAAATGCAGGGAAGTGGTAGTTAGCTTACCTCCAGGCAGTTACTAAAGAGCATGTACAGTTCAGTTTTATCTTCAGTTATAAATGGTTTCTTTTCTAACAGGGACAAGTACTCCTGAATATAACTTTTCACTTCATGGAAGCTGTGGAGAGAAATATTATTTCTGGTTATCTCAAGTCTGGAAACTCACCTTGCCAAAAAAAACAGAAAGGTTATCTATTTATCTATCTATCTCCTGTCTCCCTATCTACCCATCCATCCATCCATCTCTCTCTCTCTATTCCCGTATAATACATACATACATACACACAGATGTGTATATATAGTTTGTAACATGATTTTATTGAAAATATTTTAGCACAATATTGGAGGAATATAAAATTCCGTATTTTAGACCAGCTGTTCTCTAACTTTTTGGTTTCAGAACTCCTTTACAGTCTTAAAAATTGAGAACCCCAAAGAGCTTTTATTTATGTGGGTTATATCTATGAATATTGATGGTATTAGAAATTAAAACTGAAACATTTCGAAAATATTTATCAATTCATTTAAAATAACAATAAACCCATTACACATTAAAATAAATAACATTTAAGAAAATAAACTACTGGGGCCGGCCCCATGCCTTAGCGGTTAAGTGCGCGCGCTCTGTTACTGGCGGCCCGGGTGCGGATCCCAGGCGCGCACTGATGCACCGCTTCTCCGGCCATGCTGAGGCCGCGTCCCACATACAGCAACTAGAAGGATGTGCAACTATGACATACAACTATCTACTGGGGCTTTAGGGAAAAACAAAAAAGGAGGAGGATTGGCAATAGATGTTAGCTCAGGGCCGGTCTTCCTCAGCAAAAAGAGGAGGATTGGCATGGATATTAGCTTAGGGCTGATCTTCCTCCCAAAAAAAAAAAAAAAGAAGAAGAAGAAAATCAACTATTTTCCAAAACAAAAAGTAATTAGTAAGAAGAGTGGCTTTGTTTTTCATTCCTGCAAATCTTCTTAGTGCCTGGCTGAATACAAGTTAGCTGGATTCTCAGATCTGCTTCTGCTTCCAACTGGTTGCACTATATTGAAGTATATGAAGAAAACCTGTTCTTACACGTTATGTAATTGGAAAAGGGAGAAGTATTTTAATAGTCTTTTCAGATAACTGTGGATATTCCTCTTTGATATGACACCAAACCTTGATAAATGATATTTCTAACGGTTAGTTGCAATGTGCAATCTGCAACCATATCAATGCACTTTTCATAGTCAATTACATTAAAATCAAATGGTCTACCTTACACTTTAAATGGATTTTTCTTTTGACTAATGCATGATTTTGTAACATCAAGCTTCGGTCATTTCAAAAATATTGGCTCACTAAACTAAGCATATCTTGCAAATGAAATATTTTTATTCTACGACATGTTTTTAAAAACCTGATATTCATTAATATCACCACCTATGCCATCAAAAAGTCTATAAGTATTAGAAAGATGACAGGCTCACAGTGGAGGATACAAGTTTTCCAAAATTTTAATATTTGCTTAAAAGCTTGAATTTTATCATTAGCAACAGACACCTTCAGTTGTCTTCCTTCATGTGACAGGCTTACTTTGCTCATTTTCAAGAACATGCCAGATGCCCAGGTCTGGATAACTGGAGTGTGTCAGTCATTCTTTCAAGTACAAACAGTATTTCCATGAAAACGCAGCTGGCTTAGCGCACAACTCAACACCTGCACGAGTGGTTTTCCTCCAGATAACCACTGCGCCTCGGCGTGCAGCCAGAGCACTCTGGGCGTACTTCTCACCTTGACAGAATATTAACAAGTCTTATCTTCAAGGTTGAAGATTTAGTAAAATTAAGAATGTTTATATCTTCATCAAGGACATTCTTAGGTGAAACTGGCATTTTTTAAAACACGTGTGTGGCAGTGAAGACACGAAGTGTGCTACTATGGTTTCTTCATGCTAAGACGCTGGCAGTTTTACCCATCATTGTTTTAGAAACATCACTGCAAGTATCAACATGCTGAAAAAGGCAATCATATCTCAGTATTATTTTAAAAATAGTTTTGACCTCGGGGGCTCCCCCAAGGGTCCCCAGACTGACACTTTGAGACCAGCAATACTCAATCAATACAAGCACCACAGATGATACTATTTCGGCATGTTGTTGACATCCTATCTAAGCAAGGCAATACAAAGACGGAGCCCATCCTCAGCGGAGTGAGACATGACCAAAAAGTGTGATGGTCTCCCTTCAGGTGTGCAGACCACGAGCAGCCAGGGCTGTGGAAGCCCAGGGCAGGGGTGGGGCTGGCGGCGGGCCAGCGCTGAGCCGGCGGTCTCAGCAACTCTGCTGCATGGGCCTGCCCAGAGAGCTGACGCCTACATTTCCACAAATTACATCTAAGTGCAGCCCAGTTAGTTCTTAATACGAACAAAAATACCCGAACCACAAAAGTGAACTACAGAAGAAGTACGGAAGCAAGTATTTCTCAACTCAGAGAATGACAACATAGACTTTTAAACTGCATTTTACATCTGAAGATTTTCATTTTAAAATCAGTTCTGTAAATTTTAGTCTCTAAATATTTCAGAACAAAGCATTTACCGTTAGGTGTGTGTCTTGACATGAGTACAGCCATGTTTGGCCGCTCCATTGACCTACAGCCACCAGCACAAAGAGAAATACCAAGCTGCTTTCTGTGTGGTGGGAACTGGCCTTTTCCCGGGAACTGGCCTTTCTCCCACGGAGAGAGTTGCAAGTTGTAACATTTCAAGGCTCTTGGAGCGTC